ACAGCAGTTCAGTAAACCTGGGTACTCTACTGAAAAGACATCCACAAACTTGAAAGATTCCATCAAATGAAACTTTGTCAAATCCTGTGGAATACATGGCAGGCAAAATTCTCCTCTGTTCTTAGAAAACATCATGTCTTGCCACTGACTTCGATGGGCCAAACTCCTAGCCTGAATGCCAGACATCCACCTACCCAAACAAATCCTTTTCTTAGAGCTTGCATCTGACAATAGACCACATGGAAACCTATGTCATCAATTCAAGGATCAACTCAAAAAGACCTTGGTTAGAACAGAAATCGATCCAGTCAATTGGAAGATGGAAGCTGCAAAAAGAAGTAATTGGAAAAGTGCAATCCACAAAACATTATCCTTAAAAAATACCAGAAGACTAAAAGAACAGAGGATATCAGAATTCAAAATTATTTTTACATCAGTTAGATTTTTGAGGTGATGAATTTCTCAAAATTAGACTGGACTTTTCAAGTTTTTTTTATAATTGATGATAAATCTGAGGCTCTTTTTTTTTTTCTTTCTTTTTTTTTTTTTTTTTTTTTTTTTTTTTTTTAAGGTTTTATAACTTTCATTAAATAACTGGCAGATTATTATTGGAATAGCTTTTTGTATTGTTTATAATTAGCACGCATCTGGTTCCAATAAAACAATGGCATATTTATTTTTATTTATATCAAGTTGGTTGCTTATATCATTTTTTTCTAAATATCTTTAAAGCTAATCTTATTTCTTCAACAAAAAGTTAGGAAATTATAGTTGATCAATGTTTAAGTAAATGTATCCTAATTATAAACAAGCCGAAAAGTCTATTAAAAATATAATCAGCCAGTATATATATATATATATATATATATATATATATATGTGTGTGTGTATGTTTGTATATGTATAGATGGCCACTTGTATCCAAGGATGCCCATCTGCTAAGGCAGTTAGCTAATCCTTATTGAAGACACTTGCTCAGGCACATTTGTTTTTCTTCAAAACCCACACAGCCCACCTGTGTGGGTGTTGAAGAATAAACTAGTTTGAGCAGACATTAGTTACAGTTTCTGAGGAAGAGACAGAGAGATAGAGAGCACATTATCTGACTTGATCAACAGTCTGAACAAGGCCAGCATGCTCAAACCCTCAGTCATGATGACTTGTGACTTTGAGCCAGCAACCACTGACAGCTCCCCAAATTTCCATCTACTCAATTTCACTGACAAGTCTAGGGTCAACCTGTGGTGCAGTTTTCAGGCACTTTCCAAAGGTGGTACATGCTGAGCTTGCCCCTACCAGACTAACAACATCGTCACCTTCCTGACTAATCAACCCTGGTAAGATTCAAACACACTTGGCCATTTGCCAATATGTTTATGCTCCCTCATGTTGAAATGCAGGTTCTCGTACATTTACCAAAGTTAAGCAATGCTGAGCCTGGTTAGTACCTAAATAGCTGACCTCTTGGGAATACCAGGTGCTGTAAGCTTGAATGTGCAGGTAGTGTAATTGATAATGGTATGGAATTGGAACTCGGCTTAGAGTTCCAATTCCAGTCAGGTTTGTTATATTCACTTAAATGCATGAATCCACCTCTTCTTCCTCTAGCTATGAGTTAATTAGTAGCATTTCTATCAGTCATTAATATCTCTCCAAAAATTTTACAATCTAAAAATATTTTCTGGCTTTAAATAACCTACAAAAGTTTGATAAGTTATAAAAAAAAAAATTAGTTCTCTCTCTCTCCATATATATATATATATATATATATATATATATATATATATATATATATATATATATATATATTTCATTGAGTTTAAATTTAGCATAGGTCACATTCGATTGGTTAATAACAGTAAACCCTACACGCCTATTTTTATTGTTTGTTTTGTTTTTTTTTAAATAATTAATCGTTCACTCAGCAGTAGCTAAACATCACCCAGTGGGGCACATTTGTAGTGTTGGAACATGATTGTAGTTGTGTATATATATATATATATATATATATATATATATATATATATATATATATATATATATATATATTTGCCTCTCATATCGTATTCAACATGAGGGTCAAGCAGCTCAGTTACTAGGAACTGACAGCCGAGACACCAGTACATGAGATTTGATTATAGTGGTGAAGGCTTTGTGCAGAACCATCCACCCTTTTTGAAGGGCCGAATACAGAGGCCCAACGACACACAGCAGAATTTGAATTCAGAGTTGTCTTTCTCCTAACCAGTTGCCATCCAAGGCTATAGAACCCAGTCTGTTCTGCTATTTCCCCATAGCTTGAGGGAGAAAAGGATTAATACCTTTCCCAAGAGTATTAGGATGTAAGTGAATGTAATGGATTCGATTGGAATCCAAACCACTATCCATTACTCCACCATGCCTCCTATATGCTATCCATTACTCCACCATGCCTCCTATATGCTATCCATTACTCCACCATGCCTCCTATATGCTATCCATTACTCCACCATGCCTCCTATATGCTATCCATTACTCCACCATGCCTCCTATATGCTATCCATTACTCCACCATGCCTCCTATATGCTATCCATTACTCCACCATGCCTCCTATATGCTATCCATTACTCCACCATGCCTCCTATATGCTATCCATTACTCCACCATGCCTCCTATATGCTATCCATTACTCCACCATGCCTCCTATATGCTATCCATTACTCCACCATGCCTCCTATATGCTATCCATTACTCCACCATGCCTCCTATATGCTATCCATTACTCCACCATGCCTCCTATATGCTATCCATTAATCCACTGTTTAAATTTAAAACTTCCTGAGATCTGGAAAAAAAAAAGAAAGAGAAAAATTCTGATATTATTAATTTTTGTGTTTTTCATTTGGTTCAGTAGATTTGACCTGCATTTTGTCTTGTAAAGCAGTATACATGTGTAAGTGTATCATGATTCTAGTTTGTCTATGCAGATGATAATGTATATTTGTCTGTGTGTGTCAAGTAGGCATTTTTGTTTCTGTATGGTGATTATCCGTGTGTCGATTTGGGAATGTTTGCATTTAACACCATTTGTCATGGTAGAAGTAGATAGACACACTTCAGATTCTTTAAGTATAGTTTTTATGATAGTTGATGTAATATAGTGTGTTTGACTTTTGTTCCTGGATTGTAAGAGATTTATCAGTATCCCCTCAAATTATTTCCTTCATAAAGAATTATTTTCTTTTTTTAATTAGGTTAGCATTTATTAAAATGAAAATTATGGCCAGTTTTATTCCTGTGTATTATGAGAGATTTTAACGGGTTATCCCAACGTTTGTATCTCATATGGTGAGTTTGTAAGTGTAGCTTAGATGTGGCACAAGACCAAAAGTATGGGGCACCCAGTGAGGATCAAACACGCTACTCAGTCATTACTGATTCAGTGCAGCAAGCTTGCAAACCATTAAACCACGTCAAAGTAACCTCGGTCTCTTTTATATTCACAGATGCAAGCTTTTAGTTTCTCTGATGCCTCACTACTGTGACTATTCCTCCACTGTAGACACTTTATTTCGTTAATAATTACATTTCTTATTTAGTAATATAAATGGTATATTTAGTGGATACACATGTTTGAGTAGACAGCCTTCTGTTGTTGCTTTATATTTTTTTTTAACATTGGAATTGACAATTCCTCTAAGAGCATTCCAGAGACTTTAATATAGGAAAAATGCTTACCGCACTCCAGGGTTTGAAGTTGCATCTCCCTAATTTTATTTCTTTTTCCTCTGTATAATTGACATCTACCAGAAGACTCCAAATACACAATAGGAGCACTGGACCATATGTGGCAGCAATATTCAAAGCATGGACAAATAGTAGACTGATAAATATGTAAGATAGTTTCAGGAGAGAAGAATATATATATATATATATATATATATATATATATTCAGTTTGATTTGTTTAATAAGGGTTTATCTTAATGAAGTTTAAGATTCGTTGATTATCTTGAAATGGACAAATTTTTTTTTTTTTAAATTTGGGGGTTCACTTTTGCACAGCACTGTGTTTGTGTAATATATATATATATATATATATATATATATATATATATATATATATATATTTTCTTTTCCGTTTTTATTTTAAAGTTTGTGAATATGGTCTTAAACTCACGCATTGACACAACAAAATCACAATCAGATTATAATACATACGCATCTAGACATAATTAGACACACACACACACACACACACACACACACAAATATACACACACACTAATAAAAAAAAAAAAAAAGGAAGAGGTGGGGGGAATACATAAAATAAAAACGGAAAAGAAAAAAGTATATACATGTATTATCAGATGACCGGACGAATTGTAGCTTTTTGTCTTGTCAGACGTAATTTCAATGAAGAAATGAATTGAATAAACATATATATTTTTTTCTTTTCTCAATAATTTTGTAGTTTTTAAACTTAATAGTGATTAAATTTGGATTTTAAAAATTGCCAGTTTTTAATTTTAATATTAAATTTTATCATATAAATTTATAATTATTAGTTAGTAAAAATTATTTTTAATATTACACGTATTTAAAGATCTAAATAGCTATAATAGCAGGATTTTGTTGTCAAGCTTTTGAATCTTTCTGTACTTCGTTTTTGATTGGTTATTCTAGCTTTTGTAACAATGCTCCCCCTAGTGTAGGATCGTTAATTAATCTGAAACTTTTAAAACCATTTATTTTCTTTTCAACACCATCACTTGATAAGACACAGAGTGTGTTGAAACAAAATGGCTATTTTTGTAGTGATTTTATAACATACTTATGTTATAAATTTTTTTATAAAAATAATTATATATGCACGCACACACACACACCTTTTCTTATATATATATCGGAGTGCTCAATATTAAATACTTAGATATCATATTAAAATATCATTATTACATAAGATAGAAAATAAAAGTATCTTTAAATGAAACAGTGAATCTGTGTTCTTTCCATTTTAGATTACAAACAAGGATTTAATAGATTTAATCCGTAGAAAAGTGAAGCTGAACCTTCCTTATGCTGGAGTCTTTCTTAAAAAAGATGACAGGTAAGTTATCTTTGTTTTGTTAGCAGAAACTCTTTTAAATGGTCATTATTATTATTATTATTATTATTATTATTATATTGATAAATGACTAGTTGACGACATTGTGTTGTGCTATTTTTCTTTTTTCCTTAAATAGCTTTGGTCTACTTGCCTTGCAAAACCGACATTCAAAATTCCAAATTAACAAATTTCTGTCTGTATTATTTTCTGTGGGGTGACGAATATCCTTATTTTAGTTGTTTTTGTCACAGCTCTTTGGCTGATGTGCTCTCCAGCCTTCTTCAGGTGTCTGTCAATATAGGAGATCCTTCAGAGAATGTCAAACTGAACCTTTTATTTAAACAGCTTAAAACCTTATCACATTGAAATCCCAGTTCTCTTACAATCACCAAAGTTAAGCAACATTGAGCTTGGTCAGTACCTACATGGGTGACCATTTAAGAATGCCAGATGCTGTAAGCTTCAGAGTGCATTGAGGATGCAATGGATATTGGCTTGGAATTAGAAAGCCAAGTTTCAATTCCAATTGAGCTTGTTATATTCACTTATACATTAATACTCTTGGGAAAGGTTTGAATTCACCTCCTCTCCCCCTAGCTATGGGCTAATTAGTAGAACTTATTAGTCAGTCATTATCTCTGTAAGAATTTTAGCATCTAAAAATATTTTCTGGCTTTAAGCAACCTGCAAATGGTTGATAAGCCATAAAAAAATAAATCAGTCAAAAAAAACTAACCGTCATTTAATCCAAGACAATAATCTTGAGGATTAAAGCATTGGTTCGTGAATTTGGTGGTATAGTAATTGTGAGTTCAATCCCTGGTCCAGGCAGTTCAGACTCCAATTCAGTGGAAGCAGGGTAAAAAAATAACTGAGTTGTATTTAAAAAGAATGAGATGCAATTACTCTCGACATGGACAGTGGAATGGGAACATTAATCATCATCATCATCATCATCATCATGTGTCAACTGGAGTCAAGATCATGGAGTCCACAACACTATACCAGGTGCTGTAAGCTTGGGTGTGCGAGTAGTGTAATGAATAAGGGGCTTGGGATTGGAAATCAATCTGCTTAGTTATAATCACTGATTTGCACAAATAACCTTGGGAAAGGTATGAATCCTCGTTTTCTTTTTTCCTCCCACTATGGGTTAATTAGTAAATATAAACAAATTTCTGATGCAAAGACATTAATTTCTATACAATGAAGAAAAAAAACTTTCATTTGGAATGTTTTTGTTTTGTTTTTTTAGAATCATTTAAATATATCTGAATATCTTCTGTATTTTTAATCATTCAACCCATGCAAGTCAATAAAGCCCCTAAGATGCAAGGGGTTACTAGATGTTAGAGAATATGAGAAAAAAGCACTATTAAGGAGAGAACAATAACAGAACAGGAATTAAGACAGAAGATAATGGTTGACATTACATTACATTTGATTTTTTGAAGGTCAAAGTTGACTGAATTTGACCAATTACTATGAAGGTATTTATAGAAAAGCCACGGGCAAGATATGTTATGATGGTGGGAAACTGACTGAAGCCAAGATGCCAGGTTAGGACATTTAGATATTGCAGATTATTATTTAGATTTTATCAAGAATCTGTAAATATAAGGAGAACAAATTCATGTGTGGCAGGGACAAATTGTAGACTTTTAAATATGCACGATAGATTCTAGTGAGAAAAATTGTCTCACACGACACAGTGAAGCGACTTTCCTAGCAGCAGACCTAGCAACTGATTCAATATAATCTTTCCACTTCATTTCAACAGAGAACGTTAGTCCGAGAAGGCACATTGAGTTGCTCTGTTAAAATGACAGGTTTCATCTGACGGTGATTAGTGATTTATATCATTACATTATCGGTAATTAACTAATTTCTTTTAATTACATTACCTGAACTGTGTTTTTCTTTCAGTAAAGCAATTGTGGCAATTTTGCGTTTTATTTTAACATTATTTAAATAACAAAAATCTTCAAAACCAAGTGTAATAGTCTAAACCTCTGCAGAATAAACTGAAATTTGCATTTAACTCCAGCTCTCCTTAACCTCTCCATATTTATTTTCCCTTACTCTTAGAGTTCATACGTATAGACATGGTTATGTATTTTGACAGATATATAATTAAAAAAAAAAAATTACTTTGTTCTGTTTTTGGCAGTCATGACACAGAAGTGGTCAGATCATTGGATGACATTTACCGTGTTGGAACCTTTGTTCAAATCACAGAGATGCAAGACCTTGGAGACAAGTTGCGGATGATTCTTATGGCGCATCGCAGGTAAGTGCTTTACATTTCTCCTCCGCAAGTGAACGGTAATGTTATTTTTGAGTATATGGCAATGGCTCATGCTTAGTCTATTTGTTACAACTCATCTATCCCTTTTTATATTTTTCTTCTTCCTCCTCCTCCTTTTTTTTTTTTTTATTGACATGTCTCACCATGCAAGACAATATGACTGAAAGTAAGTTGTATCTTCGTTGGTTCAAACCAGAGGTCAACAACCTACATCATGTGTACGACATACCAAGCAATTTCCAATGGCACACACCAACAAATGACATCACAAAGTTCGAACCAATAACTACTACAACGCAAAGACGATATTTAGCTGTTTCAATTTAAATATATGCTAAAGTACATATACTATATATTACTATATAAAATATATTGTAGAACAGGTATATTGACCTTGAATTGTATAAAAATATATATGCTGTTGGCACACTGAATGATTTTAAAACCCTAAGTAGGCACATAGTTTGGATCAGGGGTCAGCAACCTTTGCTAACTATCTAATGGGTAACAAATTGTTCCTATCACTAACAAAATGCTTTCAATTTATTTTTTTTTAAAATGTTCTCACATAAATATTAAGCAGATTTTAGTCTGCTTCACTGTTTCTGTGCCAGAAATCAACAGCATTTTCATCTTCCAGCATAGCCCACATTTTTTGCATCTTTGTTGTCACCATGCAAATACCTTTCGGAAACGTATGAATCCACCTCTTCTCTCACTAAATCATTATTACCCCCCCCCAGTCTTTTTTCTGGCTTTAAATAACCTGCAAAGAGTTGATAATCCATAGAAAACGAATCAATCAATCAATGATTTTGTTTATGCTAGTGTGAGCTTATATTTACCACAAGCAGTATCTGTCTATATCTCTGCCTGAGATGAGGTATTATGTACACTATTTACATTATGTACACTATTGACCTCATCTTTGTCGCCATATTTTCATTTCGGCCGTTGTACACTCAAGTCTTCTTCAGGTGGTTGGAATGTCAAACTGAACCCTTTATTTTGCTCACAGGGGTAGATTGTCCTAGTTCCATGTGCCATGTTTTAATATATGTCAGTTATCTCCTGCCTTAACTGGGTATTGAACTCACACTCATCTAATGCCTTTATCAACTGTGCCATGTGTCCTTGAGGATATCTGTGTATGAATTTCTGGTATTATAAACTTAATGCCTTCAGCAATCATTTTTTACCAGTGCTCATATTACCACAAGCATTTTTGTATTTTTGCTTGAATATGACGTCTGCATTTGCTCAATTTATGCTGTAAATGTTGTTTGAAATCTTAATCTGATATATGAATTCTTATTTTAGTTGTTAAGAATTGGATAAAAAGTTGAACAAATGTTAAATTTTTTTTCTACTACAAATTCAAAAGTATATGTATTATTATATCCAGTCATGGCCAAAAATAACTGAAAGTTGTTGATTTATATTAAAGCAACTGAATTAAAGCAACTGAATTAAAGCAACTGAATTTAAAATATAAGAAATACTTGTAAAAAAGTTAATATGGTTGACAGTGTCTTTTCTAATAAAATTAAAGACCATATTAGTGTGAAGTATGATAAATATTATTTCAATAATCCTCTCTTTGCAGAATTAAAATCAATAATATTTTTATTGAATCTGAAGAGAATGAGACTTCAGAAGGTGAGTAATGCTATTTTTTATATATATATTTTTTTTGAAATAGACTTTTAGTTGTATTTAGTGTCAGATGAAAAATAGTTTGCAATCTGAACCAACAAATGTTTTCAGAAATCCTAGTTCTTCATAAATACAAGTTTTTAACTAACCCTTCCATCAGATGTACGATGCATTTATCTTTTTCTTGTTTTTCTCTTTCCTTCTCGTTTTTTCCTTTCTTTTTCCTCTCGTTTTTTTCCTTTCTTTTTTTCGTTTTTTTTTTCTTTTTTTCGTTTTTTTTCCTTTCTTTTTTCGTTTTTTCCTCTCTTTTTTTTTTCCTTTCTTTTTCTTTTCGTTTTTTCCTTTTTTTCCTTTTTTTTTTCCTTTCTCCTCTTTTTTTCCTTTCTTTTTTCCTTTTTTTCCTTTCTTTTTTCGTTTTTTCCTTTTTTTCCTCTCGTTTTTTTCCTTTCTTTTTCCTCTCGTTTTTTTCCTTTCTTTTTCCTCTCGTTTTTTTCCTTTCTTTTTCCTCTCGTTTTTTTCCTTTCTTTTTCCTCTCGTTTTTTTCCTTTCTTTTTCCTCTCGTTTTTTTCCTTTTTTTTCCGTTTTTTTCTTTTTTCCTCTCGTTTTTTCCTTTCTTTTTTCCTCGTTTTTTCCTTTCTTTTTTCGTTTTTTTTTCTTTTTCCTCTCGTTTTTTTTTTTCTTTTCCTTTTTCCTCTCGTTTTTTTTTCCTTTTTTTCCTCTCGTTTTTTTTTTTTTCCTCTCGTTTTTTCCTTTTTTTTCGTTTTTTCCTTTCTTTTTCCTCTCGTTTTTTTCCTTTCTTTTTCCTCTCGTTTTTTTCCTTTCTTTTTCCTCTCGTTTTTTTCCCTCTCTTTTTCCTCTCGTTTTTTTCCCTCTCTTTTCCCTCTCGTTTTTTTCCCCCTTTCTCTCATTTTTTCTCTTTTCCTCGTTTTTTTTTTTTCCTCTCTTTTTTTCCCTCTCGTTTTTCCCGTTTTTTCTCGTTTCCCTCTCGCTTTTTTTTCGTTTCCCCTCTCGTTTTTTTTTTTTTCCTCTCGTATTTTCCCCCTCATTATTTCCCCTCTCGTATTTTTCCCCTCTCGTATTTTTCCCCTCTCCCCTTTTACACAATAATATTCATAGTTCACTGACTTCCATTATAAACAAACAACATACTAGCAATTTGAGAATGATAGAATATGGCTAATATGAAAAATGTTTATTCTCTGATCTAACCTCATCAGAAACATGGCATCATCATAAGACAAGCTCTTTCTGATAAGAGAGATGTGTGTTCACATCTTACTGGAAAAGTTGAATCTCCAGAATCTCTACTGCTTTATTTAATGATTGCAAACCAAATGTAAACAACAAAAAAAAGCAAAAAAAACCTGTACATTGCAATAAGCCCCAATAAAAATAATAAGGTGAAGAAATACTCCTCAAAAACAAATATTTTTAACTAATATGTTGATTTTAATTAGAAATCAATCTTATGTTAAAAAAAATATTGACATAATTTATTCAAACTAGTATCTTTTATCATAGTTGTTTTTGCCATATTTTGACTGGTCAGTTCTTGAACTATTTTCAGGTGAATGTGTCAACTGATGAATGTTGATTTCAAAAACCTCAATTTGGTCTATAAGTAACTATTCAGCAGAAGCCATGTTCTTACTCAGAAAAGCTTAAGAGAGCTAACCATTTGCATTTCAGTGATAAAAGCCGTTTAGATAAAGATCCTCCTCTTTATAAGCAGTGTCTTGGAACTTTAGACATTGGTTAAAATATTCCTTGTTCTGCAGAGCCAATCAAAAGAAAGTCTCGGCGCCGAAGGAAAACGGAAAATGGCACAGAATTATCCCAAGATCCTGAAGACCCAGAAATTATTGAGAATAACTTAAAGCAGGGTGCAGAGGTGCTAATGGTTGAGGTGGAAAATGTTACTCATGAAGACTTCAAACAGACTGATGAAATCAAGGTATATTTTTTTTCTGCTAGAAGTTTCTACATTTGAATTAATCCTTTCTGTTCAAGAGAATAACAATGTTTGTAATAATCATCATCATCATTTTCCATTTGGACTGATATCTTCATCTTGGTTGTTATGCTCACAACATTTCATCCATTGTATCCAAGTTTTTTCATGTAATCTGTTGTCATACTCATCAAATTTTGAATTTTGTACCAGATCTTTTATTTTAATTCATGTATTTATTTGTACACCCATTTTGTACAAATATGACACAAGGCCAAGTTTACTGTGTGGGGCCATGTGAACATGACCCAAGGTTCAAAAATTGCTCTATCTTCCTCAGCACTTTCCCTTTTAGGGACACCTCAAGTATCTGTGATTAGCTCTAGACCCCTCTGAAGAGAGAGTTATTGCCTAGTGGGCTCAACCTTTGTGACTAGAGAGTATAAGTACAAAACCCACAAAAAGGTCCATGTTTTCTTCATTCCCACTTTAGGTGTACAGCCATATCATGCTTAAACCCTGGTTCTCATATAATCGCCAAAGCAACATCAAGCCTGAGTAACTGTTTGAAAATACCAGCTGAGTTCCAATTCTAATCACATTCATTATATTTACTTACATACAATATCATTGAAAAAGGTATGAATCTACCTCTTCCCCCCCTCCTAACTATGGATTAATTAGTTTTCCTAGTAGTTGAATGGTCTAGTTGGTTGAGGCAGTAGAATACACTGGTTGAACCCCAGCAGAGAGGTAAGACACCCTCCCCACCAAAAGGGGTCACATGTGAGTGGCAAGCCATGATTCCTGAGGGCTAAGCAGTTGATGTTCCTTGGTATTTGAGGGGTCGTCAGCTGCAACACTGCATTTTGGTCCTTACTTGGGCGAGACTGGTAATTCAATGGACCCGATCTGATCAGTTGACTAGTCATGTCAAGCCCTAATACACAAAAAATACTCTATCATGCTTCCAATCCAAAGTCATACACGCCAACACATAACATAAGAAATAAATAAACATTTGCTCAAACATATGAGTAAAAAAAAAAAAAAAAAAAGTATTAGAAGGTGGTGTCAAGGGTCAAACAGTCAAAATTGCAGCATCACTATTAGGCTCTGATGTTTCGGCTAAGTACAGTGAAGAAGCTGAAGATTTAATAGTTGTTATTATGAGTATTTGGTTCCCATATCCTTGGGATGTTTGGGCAAAGGGCTCCAGGGAGGGTGGTGAGCAGGAATGATGAAATTTTAAATCAAACTTTCATGGCATCAAAAAATAAAAGACTAGAATCAAGCTCAGTGAAACAGAACTTAATGAAACATTTTATGAATTTATTGTACAAGAATCAATCGAAGAAACTCCCATTACTAAATTGTCACTAATGGGAAAAAATGATATCCTCCAATATAACTCGTACATCTGTTACAAAATTAGGAAATGGTACAATAACAAAAAAAAAAAGTTACCGCTGAAAAATTGTTAAAATGGACAAGTTTTGTTAAATTAATAATCAAAGCCTACTCTTGCCAATGTTTAAATTCACCCAAAGGAGTACTCAGAAGCCCTGACCTTTATCAATACTCCTGAGAGGAAACTACAGAGCATTATGATAATAAATCAAGAAAAAACTTTAAAAATCCATTTCAATTAATAGATTTTCAAATATAAAATTCTTTTAAAACATAAAAAATAGAGAAAGGGAGAAAAAGAGATGGGGTGAGAAGGGAAAGAGAAAAAGGATGAAATAAATGATATGATAGTAAAACTAAAATAGAATGACCTGGCCAAGAATTTTATATTTGAAAATCTATTATTTTTCTTTCTTCCTCTCCCCCTGTTCTTCTTTTCTTTCTTCCTCTCCCCCTGTTCTTCTTTTCTTTCTTCCTCTCCCCTGTTCTTTCTTTTTTCTCCCCTTTCTTCCTCTTCTTCCCCCTGTTCTTCTTTTTCTTTCTTCCTCTCCCCTGTTCTTCTTTTTCTTTCTTCCTCTCCCCCTGTTCTTCTTTTCTTTTCTTCCTCTCCCCTGTTCCTTTTCTTTCTTTTCTTTCTTCCTCCCCCTGTTCTTTTCCCCTTTCTTCTGTTCTTTTTTTTTCTTCCTCTCCCCCTGTTCTTCTTTTTCTTTCTTCCTCTCCCCCTGTTCTTCTTTTCTTTCTTCCTCTCCCCCTGTTCTTCTTTTCTTTCTTCCTCTCCCCCTGTTCTTCTTTTCTTTCTTCCTCTCCCCTGTTCTTCTTTTCTTTTTCCTTCCCCTGTTCCCTTCCTCCCCTGTTCTTCTTTTCTTTCTTCCTCTCCCCTGTTCTTCTTTTTCTTTCTTCCTCTCCCCTGTTCTTCTTTTTTTTCTTTCTTCCTCTCCCCTGTTCTTCTTTTCTTTCTTTCCTCTCCCCCTTGTTCTTCTTTTCTTTCTTCCTCTCCCCCTGTTCTTCTTTTCTTTCTTCCTCTCCCCCTGTTCTTCTTTTCTTCCTTGCTTTCCTTTCTTCCTGTTAATCTAATAAATGAATTTGTCTCTATTTATTAAGAACTTTCAGTTTGAAGAGATGACTAACAATATTCACAAAATAAACATCTTTTTGCTTATAATTTAAGTTTTTTTTCATGATTTTTTTTATTATATATATATATATATATATTGCTTATAATTTAATTTTTTTTTCATGATTTTTTTTATTTTATATATATATATATATATATAATTTATTCTAGGATATTACATTTACTCAGATCAACCAATCAAATATGACCTACATAATAATGTAAATAATTTAAATGTATGTTGGAAATAATCAGATTCTTTGATGAGAAGACCAAAAATCTGAGTTAATTTTACCTTACAATTGGTATTTGAAAATGCTTTTTCTTAGATTTTAGTTGATCTGTGTTGCACCATATATGGCTTATCGATATGTAAGATTAATTTGGATTTAATATAATTTTGTATTAATCTCTCGGTAGTTTTAGTAACAGATGCATTGGTATTTTTGACATTTTGCATTGATTGGTTATTGTTATTATCGTCTTATATAAAGAATCTTTAGTCAACAGTTGCATATTAATTTACTAAGTAATTCTATTTGTTTAAATTATTTACTGATTTCTTAAAGAAGCTATTTATCAACTATAAAAAATTGTTTATGTAGGAAACTTACAAAGCATATAACTTATTTAACATTTTGTTAAATTGCCACTCCATCTCATTTTTTATTAGGAAATGACACTCTCTAATGCATTAAAAAAAATGTATCCATTCAAATCCACTTCTGTTTAACGTCTGTGCTGTCATTGCCAATCTATGGGTCATGACCCCTTTATGGAAAATAATTTCTTAATTTTTGCTTCTTAGTTTAAATTTAATGTAGGTCATGTCCGATTTTTGCCAAATTTTTGATGTCTAAAATAAATTATATTGTTCTACTTTGTACTGAGCCCTCTTTTAAATTAAATGTTACAAACATTGGAATTGTACTCTATTCATTCTCATCTTACCTGGATGGATATGTTTTTTATATATATATATTCAAGCATATATTTTTAAATATAACAGCAAACGAATGTTTGTGTTTGATCATGAGCCATTTTAAGCGTCGTATAGTGTTCATATAACCACTCTGATGATAGCTCGTGTGCTGAAAGCTTAGTTTGAGGAACATAATAAAAAAAATATCCATATATTGAACAGTTTTTGTCTCTCAAAATTAAAGCAACTATACAAAGCTTAGAACAGCTCATGATCAAGCATAATAGACATTCATTGTCTGTTATATTAACAATATATGTTTGAATATATATATATATATATATATATATATATATATATATATATATATATATATATATATAATTTCAAGAGGATAGAATCCAGGTAGAGCTCAATGTCCAGGACAGAGCAAAAATATAATATAGAAGGCTCAAACAATAATATTCCATGGTTATAATTTATTTGTGCATTTGAGATATAGATATATATATATATATATATATATATATATATATATATATATATATACACACACACAAACACTTACATTTAATATACGTGAAACTCCATCTGAAATAAAAATTAGATACTCTATTGTTAAGGTAGAAATATACATCCACGGACCACTCAGATGCTACAACTGCCAAACATTTGGCCACCATAATAACAGATGATTGCAGTGTGTGAAAGATGTGGAGAGAATAGAACAGGTCATTCAAGGTTAACATGCCCCCCACCAAATCCCAAAGCGTCCAAATTGAAAGCAAAAACATGGTCTTTTGTTATCAATGCATGTTGTTAGTGTTATCTGATGATAATTCTCTGGAAATCTATTGGCTTTACATAGTGTACCTTTGAAAGTGGGGGGCAGGTCAAAACACTGATGTTAATTACTGTAAAAATATTTCTGCTTTCAGGCTCTGACCTCAGAAGTTGTCAAGACAATCCGTGACATCATTGCCATGAACCCATTATACAGGCAAGTTTTCCAATCACTTTTATCTTCAGCCACCTTTCCAAAAATGCAGTTTAGGGCTTGCCTCACTGCTCAACCTTAACACTAAACAGGAATTTGAAAATTTAATCTGAATTACAACTCTGTTTTTGTACTAGTAGCATTATTGCCTTGCTTGAGGTGGATAAAAAAAAAAAAGAATAGGTATTTGATTGATCATGACTTTTCTAAGAATTATAAATGTGGATGAAGCAGTCTCAGAAATTTAAACAATCTGAGTAACAGATAACAATATAACAAACAAATCTGGGGTACATAGAAATAATGAAAGATGCCTTTTAGAAATTAAGCAAAGTATACAGTACACAAAAATAAAAATTTGAAGAAGACAAGATTAATTTACTGATTTTTCAGTATATACAGCACACTTTTTACACCCCCCCCAGGTTTGAAATCTGTTTGCATCCAATACACTGATGGTTGGAATAACAAAATCATAAACACAATTTCAAAGGTATAAGAAGCAAAATGGCAATATCTCAAAAATAAATTCTATGAATGTGGCTCAGAGGTGACAAGGATTATCCTTTTCTACAAATAAAACAATTTTTAAAGCAAAGAGGATTCCAAGTAATAACTGTTTGTAAGATTTTGCTGGTATTGCAGCATGATGTTATTAAATGCAAAGACCTGTTTCATACAATCACGAGTCCTGTATCCCTAAGTTCATAGGGACACTACATCTACTGCCGTAGAAGTGGTACATCTTGCGCAAGATAGCTTGACAGATCATAACCCTCTCTGGAGTGGTTTGAATTCAGAGTTTTCATTCTCTTAGACTGGCTGCCAACCAAGGCTAGAAAACTCAGTTTGTTCTACTATTTAACTAACAAGCACAATTTGAATAAAATCTGAATGGTCATCTGTCTCTCAAGAACTAATATCCCTTTCTGTCTGATGACAACTCCAAGGTGACAAGAAAAGTGTATGAAATAAAACGAGTAGGCCTTTGAAGTCATTTTGATGGCTCCTTCTGGATTTAAAGTAAATTTATTTTCTAATAAATGTAATTTTTTAAATGGACAGTTTTAGATTTGAAATTTGATCATTTTGTCACCAGTGACATGACAGGTATCGAACTAGTCTATATAGAAGTGGGGCAACACATTGAATTGAAAAACAAGGAAGTTGTAGAAGCAGTGATGAATGAAGTGAACCTGATGATGAAAAATTGAATATTCTTTGACTGATTTCTGAACTTGGATGGGTCAGAGTTGAGGCTATTATTGCTTTATCATTTCTACTTAATTAGAATTCTTCTTTCATTTTACTTTTTTCCCTCTACTTATTTATTTACCATTTCCAGGGAGAATCTGGCTCAAATTATTCAGGCTGGCCAGCGAATTATTGATAACCCTGTTTACATTGGAGATCTTGGTAAGTAAAGCCATTACTTTAAATATGCAAATAAATCAAAATAAAATTTATTTACCAAAATATAAAACAAAGGGACAGAAGGCTAAGAATAAGAAGAAAAAAAGAATGACTGCCTGTAAATCAATGGATCTAAAAAAAATAAATAAATACAACAAAAAAATAATTTTTTTTTTTTTTTTCTCTTCCTATCCCTTTGTTGTATATATTTTTGTATATATTTATATATACTTTTAAAATCTATAATACATGAATTAATTCCAAACTCAGTCATGTGCCATGCAGGATACACACTTTGGCAATCATGTATCTTTCGATACATGACTGACGAGGCAGTTTTTTTTCCCTCCACAGTAGGTTGCCATTTCTTTCTGCAGTCGACCAGTTTCCATCCAAGGCTACAAAACCCAATCTGTCCTGCTATTTACCCATAGCTGGGGAGAGAAGACGATTCATACCTTTCCCAAGGGTATTAGCACATAAGTGAATGAAATGGATTCAGTTGGAATTCAAACTCGTCTCTCTCATTGCTCAGTCCAAGGCGCTATCCATTACTCCATCGTGCCTCTTGAACTAAAATAATATAAATAATAATTACATTATAAAAAAAAATTCAGCAACATTTATTAACTTTTGTTTATTAAACATTAAATTACATAATTTGTTGTGAGGGAGAATATTTCCCTACAAGTTTGGTCTCAGCTGTCGGATGAAAGACATAAAAATATGCCTACATCAAGAGGAGTAGCAGGAGCAGCTTTTGCTTAAAACAGTCATTCACAGCTAAACAATACTTTTAAACCATATCACAAAGATACTCCAATCTATATTAACTTTAACTCTAATCATCCCAGTCTTATGATTAGACAAATTTCTACCACAGTAAACACTAGAATCAATAGAATATCTTCTAATAAAAACTCTTATAATGATCCCCTTGAAAAAAGTGGTCTTAAACAAAGATTACTTTACCTGGAATCTTTAAAAGATACTAAAATAAATAGAACCAAACATAGAAAAAGAAAAGTTATTTGGTTTAACCCTCATTTTTGCCAACTATTTACTATAAATATTGGTCAATACTTTCTGAAATTGATTGACAAACATATTGAGTAAAATTTTTAATAGAAAAACCTTAAAAATTAGTTACTCATGCACAAATAACATCTATAATACCTTAAATTCACATAATAATAAAATATTAAACAAATTTTATAACAATAACTAACCAGATAGCAAACCATCTTGTAACTATAGAAACACAAATAACTGCCCAGTTGGAGGCATATGCCAATCCAAAAATGTTATATACCAAGCAACCATTTTCCCTTAAAAAAAAAAATGCAAACAATAAAAAAGTATATAATTAAATTTTTGCTGGTATTTGGAAGCAGAGATTCTACTATCACAAGCATTCTTTCTCTAACCGTTATCTGAAACACCAAACGGCTCTTTCCAAACTTTCTGGGAATTAAAGGATAGAAATTTCAGCCCACAGATAGAATGGAAGATTATAGGTAAATCCCAAACCCCTAGTAGCTTCATAAATAAACAGTTAAGGCAGTGGAGAACTTGGAGAGGGGAATTAGCAGAAGATAACTGATAACTGACATCCATTAAACATGGCACATGGAACTAGAACAGTCTACTCCAGTGAGCGAAATAAAGGGCTCAGTTCAACATTCCAACGACCTGAAGAAGGCCAGAGTGTACAATGGCCGAAAGGTTGTAATAAATATGGCGGCAAAGATGAGGTCAATAGTCCAAATAATATAAATAGTAAATATAGGTACCTCCACGAGATCGCTAAAAAAAGAGCATAGCATGATGAAAAAGACTCCAAACTTGACGAAAACAAAATTTTATCGTCTAAATGTTTGTTATTCATTAAGAGGAAAGGTCAAAGTATTTTTGGGGATTTTTTTTCCATTTTTAATCGTTCCTAGCACGTCCGAAATTTTCGTTAAAAATCTAGTTTTTTTTGAGTCAGCAAAATTGACCATTTTTTCCATTTTAAAAAAACTGGAAATCTGACTTTGAAATTTTTTAAATATCAATTATCATTTTTTCAAAACTTATTTTAAGAAAATCAGAAATTATAATGTTTATTTAAAATATTTTGAACCAAACTTAACTTAGCTTTTGTGCAAAAAAAGATGTAATTTGAAAATAAAACAAAGCAGGTCATAAACTTTTCGCGTCTCTTGACATGTGATGAATGATATATTTCTTAATTCCATGAGGCTAATTTGTTCTCTGGAAGGAGAAAAGTGAAATAATTTACATTTACGTGAACAAATTATTTACCCCGTTATTTTTAACGAAAACTTTCAGTGACTAATTTTTATTTTTTTTTTTTTTTTTTTTTTTTTGTACTTAGCTTTCACCTTTACGTTTATGATGCTTTATGGGAAATATATTCTAAAGAAATTAAAATAAAACTGTTAAGAGTGACATAAAATTTCATATTTCTTAAGAAAGGTATCTAATTAATTTATAGGTACCTTTCTTATGAAATTTTATCAGAATTGTACATAAAATACTATAATTTTATGTACATTTATTACATTTTACTGTTATTTGTATTTGCATTCATTTTATTATTAATTTTGATATTTCATTTATGGAAAAAATGTCGTAACTGAGATTAATATAAAAATAAGATCATATAAATTTCATAAGATGATACTGAAACTTGTAGGTAACCTTCTCAGTTGAAATTGAAAAATCAAATTAACTTCTCCACACGTGTTTCAGAAAAGTAAAAGGCCTTAACAGCGGAGAACAATGCTTAACTCAAATAACGCAACTTAATTATATTCTGGTTGGTCTTCCGTATTTTATAATTACAGCTCGATTATAAGCACAAAATTACATTTCTTAATTACTGGGTATCTTCTGATTAGTCAAAATGATACAATTTACAACGCTAAAAAAAGAGATCTATCTCATAAGGACACTTATGAAAGCCTGTCTTGACTTTTAACTAATTTTATAATATTTTAACAACTTAAATGTAAAATCTGTTATAATTAATGAAATAACAAATAATTGTATTAAAATTCATTTTCATCGAAAAATTTTTTTGCTTTCAGAAAATATTGTCCATATTCATAAAAACAACTAAAAGCAAATAAAAGCATTTGAAATTAAATAATATCTTTGTTTTATTGAGTTTTGTATGTTACAATTCAGAGCTGGTTTTCAGGTACTGGGTATCCAATTAAAAACAAAAAAAACATGATTTGCATTCCTCAAAGCCCTGTGCTTTTAATTATTGTAATCACTAAAACCGATTCGATCGAATTTCTAGCGTTTTCATAAAATTAGTTGGGGGGGGGGGTAATAAATATATTTAAAAAATATTTCTACCATGACTTTCATAAAAAAAACATATTTATAATAATTTCGATCATCTGTGAAATGTTCCTGAAAGTTTCATTAACATCCGATAATTATTTCTATTTTTGGACGATTTTTCAAATTAATGTGTGTCATACCAAAAAAACGTGCTAAAAATAGTCTATGTTATTTACTAGTTCGCTGATACAAATAGAAACAAGGTTTTTTTAATCAAAATTTAGAATTTTCTAAAAAGAAGGAAAATTTTTAAAAATAATTAAAAAAAAACTTTGGTCTTTCCTCTAAATAATAACATAAGCATTTAGACAATAAAATTTTGTTTTCGGCAAGGTTGGCGTCTTTTTCATCAAGCTATGCTCTTTTTTTAGCGATTTCGTGGAGGTACCTAAGTAAATATATATATATGTGTGTGAGAGTGAATGTGTTTATATGTGTGTGTTGTATATATGTGTATATTTGTGTATGTATGTATGTATGTATGTATGTATATATATATATATATATATATATATATATATAAAATTCTTTATCTGAAATTCTTGTGATCAGAAGTGCTTCGGTTGTCATATTTTTTTTTTGGAATACAGGCTATTTGATTTTTCTATAGCATCTATAAAATAATGCTGGAAACTATGATCTGTAATTGGAATTAAAGTAGCTGTTAAATTCTGTGCTAATAGGAATATATACTTAAAAAACAAATGTTTATTGTAAAAAACCAGTACAATAAGAATAAAGGTAACAGTTATGCACAAGGTCGTAGCAAGTCAATCCAGTAGTGAGTGCTACTATTGGAAGGTCGGTACTTCTCACGTAAGTCTGAGTCATACTCAACAGATCCTAGCTAGACTCTGTAGTATGTTGACTTACAGGTACTTATAGGTACTTACTACCTTTAGTCTAGTCACTCATGGGGGTGTCAGGTTATTCCATTACATCAGTAGTGATAAGAGATAAGAAACTTGAATATAGAATCAGCTACACTAAAGATAATTTTACCCAACACCACAAAATGCTACAAAACCAAAACATCAATCTGAAAATCCGAGTTATATACTTAAATAGCCTCGTCAGCTCAAGAGTTTCATATGGATGTCATACATGACACACACCAAATCTGTTCGAAAATATCTAAACCGTTTGCTGTATACAACTACTTTCTCAGATGAATAGTTAAAAATGGTTTGAGCAAGTGAAACCTGTGTCTTGGCAAAGACCATACTGCTTCGAACCTTGTGGATTGTCGCTACAGAATCACAAAGAACTGTACCAAATAACAAAAGCCACATCACTTGCAGACTACTAACAGCGGAAACAACAAAAATGGATTGCACATGTAACTCAAAGAGAAAATGACATAATCAGAATGTTGATGGTCCGCACTACATTGAACAAAAGGTTAGGAAAGAAATTAATACTGAAAGAACAATAACAGCTACTGAACTTAAGAAACCTATTTTACTGAAAAATTTATTTTAAAAGAAAGATTTTATAAATTTCAACTGAAATTAACACTGGCTGCTCAGTCAATGAATGCCAAATCTTACCATTATTACCTTGTTGAGGTTCTGTAATGAGATCATACATCTCAAAATGATTGCTGACACAATATTTTCTGTAGGAAAGTGCTAATGTTAATATGAATTCCATTTCCTTTTTAATAAAACTATTCTGATTGGTTGGTTATTTTATTAAAAATTTTTATTTATGCAGGAGCTGCATTGACTGCTGGGGAACCAGAAGAACTCCAACAAGTTCTTGAAGAAACAAATGTAAGCCTCCACCCACACCCCTGCCCAGTTCACATTAAATTCCTGTTTATTTTTGTTGTCTTTGAATATTTTTTTTTTTTAATATTTTTGAAGAACTTTTTAGAAGAGAAAAACAAATTTTTCAGATCCTTGTAAAGTTATTTCATCATTTCAGAGTTCTTCCTTGTTGTTTTATTTATTTTTTATTTTTTTTAAATTCTACATACTTGATTTTTATGCAAAAAATATATTACTTATGGGGATCAGAGACAAATAATAAAATCTATATAGAAATGTATTGAAAATCAGAAAAGGGGTGGTCATAAATTACCGAGATTATTTTTATTTAAAAATAGAAAGATGTTCACGTGAATTCCAGCCATGCACAACACCTGAAGGCTCAGAATAAACACTCCTATTCAAAAACAACACAAAAAATGCAAGTTAAACAGTCAAAACATGAGGAAAAACTAACACTGCCAAAAAACACCCCCACCCTTGAAAATGGCTAAAGTGGCCAAAAGCACTTTGGACAATGAAAATTATGGAAAATTTTTTGTATGCCTTTACTTCTAAACAGAAAAACTAAATAAAATATTAGATCTTCCTTGTCTGCCATATTTAATGAAAGATGTTTACAAGAAAAGTTGCTGCCCAAGTATATAGTCATTGTCATCCACAGACACTGTTTCACTATATCACAGCTCATCAGTGTGGCTAGGCATCCAGTTGCCTCTAGCTAGGATCGAAAACTGACTGAATTGGCATCAGTTTGGAGAATTTCCCCTTAAGCCATTGGCACATGGCAGGGATGAATGTTAATTTAAGCGTATTTATTTTTTAGATAAACATGCCAGTAACTGAGAGAACTCTATTCATTTTATCAAAGAGCATTGCATTAGTAGCAGTAATAGTCAGTTTACAAACTCACACTTCTTCCCTAGAGAGCTCAACCAAAATAATTTTTCAGGGGAATATGTTGTTATCCACAGACAGACCGTTTGGCAGTATCACAGCTCATCAGTGTGGTTAGACATCTGGTTGCCTCTAGCCAGGATTGAAACCTGGCTGAATTGGTGTCAGTCAGAGAATCTACCCCTAAACTGTTGGTGCATGACAGGGATGAAGGTGAATTGAATTTAAGCATATGTCTTAGATACAATGTATATAATGTTTATGTACATACATTATATATGTTCCAAAGGTTGTCATAGATGGGGAAGTAAATCCATACCAAACACCTGGAGTGGATCTCCTGAAGACAGTTGACAGCCAACTTTCGGTCAACTCCTGCAGCCAAGCTGTCTCCCAGAGGTAATGCCTTGTAACTTGCTGGTACGGTCATATAGTGTAGGAAGTGCATTGCATCCATATATTGTCACCCAGGCCTGCACTCTAGAAGGTTGCTCCAATCTCACCACCAAATGATTGAATTTTGACTAAACCCAGCACTAATGTGTGGGTATATATTTTTTATTTGGGAAGATGAAGCTTGTCAGCTCAGGAAAGCAGTTGATGTAGTGGAAAGAATAATCATGATTTTAAATCTCTGCTGCTTTGTGGTACTATCCAAAACACGGAAAAGTCTATGGAAATAAATCCAGAGTAGAGCATCAAAGGCTGTTGGCTGTCAACACTCTTAACCTTCTGGTGACTTCTGCAGCCAAGCCAGCTGGCCCTCAAATGTAATGTCCTGTATTTCTTTGGGTCTTTGGATTTTCTCAGAACAGACAAGAGGGTAGCACATAAGCTCCATTTACTATTGCCTAGGCCTGCACCCAGGAGCAGTCACTACAGTCTCCCCACCAAGAGACTGATTTTTTACCAAGCAAGGTGTGACCATTATCTCTTGAGATAGATAGATGCCCATTCTATATTTTATTGAATATAATGTTCGTGAAAATGTTTTGTGATTTTTCTCCTGATTTTGAATAACTTGTAAAGGAACTTGCCAAAATTGTGTGTAAACTCTGGACTATTAACCACACAAATACTGGCTTTCTCTCAACTGGTAGCTTCTTTTCTTTGATCAAATGATCAAAAATAATTGGGATATTACAGACAACTTTGTCAACTTCTACAAGTTTCTGCCCAACATCAAACGAATTATTGAACACCAGGAGAAATTCATCAAGTCTTTTAACACATTTTCCTTGTCTATTCTTGTTTTTAATAAGACATGTTTACATGAAGGATTGCTGCTTAAATCAAGGGACCAAAAAAAAATGTCCTTAGAAACAAAGTAAAGAATGCTTCATTGTTATGTAATGTCTTTTATATGACAGTCAATACAAGACAATTTTATCAAATGAGAAGAAAACTTTTCTGCCAAATGTTGGGAATAACATAGACAGATTATGAGAAATGAGGAAGTTTTAAGGTGAATAGAAACTAGAAAGACATCATTACAAACTGAGCTGAATTTTTCCTAAATGTACAAAGAAAGAAAGCTTAGAGAATCTAACACTCACAGGACACATTGAAGGCAAGAAGCAGAAGAAAGCAGTGAGTAACCTACTCAAAAAGTCCCATAAAGACGGATTGTAAAGCAGCCAGTATTGCTTAAAGGAAGCTGTGGAGAACTACAATTGTCCACATCATGAAAGGACTTAGCACATAGAGTAAAATCATTGATGATTTTACTATAGAAATATATTACTGATGACTATCAGAGAAATAAATTGCAGAAAATAAAGAAAAGTTATTGTCAGTGGTCAGGAAGTAAAGCATGTGTACAAACAGAAGGCTAGTCTATCACAGACATAGAACTAATATTTGAAAATCTAATTTAGACATTTGACTTTGCTTGTTTCTCTTAAGAAATATTTGAGAGTATAACTTTGCATTAAGTTTCCTTTTTTTACTTTTGTTGTCATTATTTCAAAAGTCACTATTTCAAATCTAATTCTTTCATGTTATTTCCTATATATTTTCATTGTAGATTTGGTGAAAAAATTTTAGAACCATGTTTTTTAACAACAAACAAATTTCATTTTAGATTCCTCGTCGTTTGATGCTGTCCTTATCACTGCTGAAGAAAGAGTATGAACTCAGTAAACTGCAACAAAAAATTAGTCGAGAGGTGAGATATTCTTATGAATTAAATATAAACAATGATTGCTTAGAAAAAATCTGCTGAAAAAAGTTTTATAAATGGAAGTTTTAAGAATTTTCAGTTGTAATCCTAACCTTGTTTGAACTTCTTTGTCAATGAGATTTGCAAAGACCAAGGAAGGCCTACCAAAACATTTCAATGTAATCATTTACGTTTTTTGTTAAAATTAATTTTTTACAGCAATCCATCATTAGTGCTTTTTCTTTTGATATTCTAACTTACTTAGGGCCAAAGGATATTCTGTGGGATTAGCCCTACTTGGTTTTGGCAAGACACTGTTTTGAGAGAGAAAAGTTATCTCCCCTTGACCCCCAAACAAAAATAACAATCAAAAATTAAATATAAATATTCACAACAATAATATAAAAAAAAACAGTCATATGGTTTGACAAGACCAACAGGAGACATCATTAGGTGGGAAAGTCAATCTTTCTCTTTTTGCTCAATGAAGTTATAGAAACTGGACACAGAAATTTCAGACTCATGACAAAAGAAACAAATAAGTACCAAATTCATATTGTTTTTGGTACATAGTTTTTTTGCAAGCAGATACATGCTAACTGTGATTTAAGAATTTTGAATATAAAATGTGTGTGTGTGTGTGTGCACGTGCAAGTATTTTTATACACAGACTTTTGTGTTTTGTTTGAACTTTTCCTATATTTGTTGTGTGTTTCATTTGATACAACATATCGCTGCACAACAATACAATTAAGTGATACTGTTAAACAGCTATAAAACTGGATACTTCCTGTTTCTTCCTTCTTCTCTCCTCCCCCGTGCCAAACACCACCCACCCCGCCCCAGAAGTAACACCTTCATGGGACTTGTTCCCAGGCACAAGAATATCTTTTCACAGTGACTGACCTTTTTCACTCATACTCAACTCCTAATAGCTAGATTTTGTCTTTCTTTCCAGCTATTTTTACATGCAGACAAATATATTTAATTTCTTGCTAATCATTTATAAAATATGTGAAAATATTGCCTTTTTGAAATTTAATTTCCTTTCACCTCTACTAAAAATGACAACTCAAAATTTACATATGAAAATTTTGTTTGCTACTAATTTTAGTCCAACCAAATGCACTTGTAGTACTATTGTTACCAGCCTCTTGCAGATTCTATTTTCAGGGCTGATAACAACTTGCAATTTTTTTGATGGATTGATTTGTTTTTTTAAAGCTTATCAACTCTTTGCAGGTTATTTAAAGTCAGAAAATATTTTTAGATTGTAAGAATTTGGGAGAGATAATTATTTGCTGATACAAGTCATTACCTATTAAATAAATATAACAAATCCAACTGGAATTGAAACTCTACTCTCCAATCTGCAATTCCAAGTTGTTACACCACCCACACATCCAAGCTTACAAGCATCTGGTATTTCCAAGCAGTCACCCATCTATTTACTAACCAGGCTCAACTTTACTTAACTTTGGTAATCATAATCCCTTAATTCAACTACAAGTAGATCTGCAATAATTCCATAAAAAAACTAATACGTTAAGTTTCTCTATTAATGGCGCTGCTTATTTTTTACTTTTCTTGAAAGATTTCAAAATCATTTATGCAGGAGATAGTATCTTCCATTCTGCAATCTTTATTTTTCTACAGTCACAAAGTCGCAGGTTATCAAGTAAATACATAAATAAATGAATGGCCATCCAATAAAAGTCCAATAAAGTATACAAGAAAAGCACAAAATCAAATTTATTAGACCACTTATTTTCCATTCTGCAGGCTTTTTTCTCACAGACTCAATGACAAATGCCTATCGCTATTTCCATGGCAAAGGCTCAGATGAGCTCCTTTAGCTCATGTGAAACTTTGCCAAGGACACACCATGCTGCATCCACAAAGTTAAATCTCTCACATTTCTCCTGAATTCCAATTGTAAGGAGGAAGTTCCACTAATACAACTTTTTCCTAAAAACTGCCACCTTCTGAAACAGACTCTCATGTGGATGCTTCCCTTAACACTACAATCTTAATCTTTTTTTCAAGTTGGGAATCAATCATTATCTATGTTCATTGTCTTCATTTCTTACCATCTCCTCTTGCATTTGTGTCACACACTGCATTCAGTAACTATCTACCATGTGTGGCTCTCAAACCTTGTATGGCGTAAACTTTTCTTTTTTTTAAAAAGTCATTTTTTTTTCCATAGTCTTTGTTCAATAACTTTTATGACAAAAATTGTCGTCAAAGAAAGGGTCAATGTGAAAACTTGTTATATATTTGAAGAAAATAAAAATATAAATTTTCTGATAATTCTCATAGTCTTCTACCCCTGCAGGATTTGAAAAGAATTGATCAGCTGATTAATTGATTTTCAGCTAATTTGCTTATCAGTGCAGCTCAGATATCTATGTATACATTCCATGTCTCATATATACAAGTTTGTCAATACTTGTAAAATTTCATGCAGCAAGGGCAGACTATCATTGTTGCTTCATCCGTTGTTGCTTGATTTATTGAAATTGTCATCTTTGATAATGGCTTGTGTAAGCCGAAAGCTTAGATCGGATTTAAACATGTATCAATATGGTATTTTCCTTTTGTCTTTCAACGGTAATGTGACTAAGCTTATTAGACAATATGAAAGGGACTTAATAAACAAAACTTGTCTATATTATTTAATGAAACATGCATTAATGAAAAATTGCTGCCTAAATATGCACTATATATATATATATATATATATATGTGTGTGTGTATATATATATATATATATATATATATATATATATGTGTGTGTGTATATATATATATATATATAAAATGCACATTTTGTGTTGCACCAATAGTTTAAATTGGACTCAAGTTAGTAACTGTATTTGTTTTATTATAAATTGAATATTTCAGGTTGAAGAAAAGGTGAAGAAGCAACATCGGGAGTACATGTTGCGGGAGCAATTGAAGATCATTAAGAAGGAACTGGGCTTGGAGAAGGATGACAAAGATGCGATTGTTGAGAAATTCCGTAACAGGCTGAAAGTAAGACTTTTCATCTTGAACGTTCCAATCTTATATTTCCCAAAGAAAGTCTATACTCTCTTTCTTCTCTCAACTCAGATTGTGGGAATATTTCATAAATTCTTCAACACCTGACCATTTTAGGGGCCAACTTTTCCATTTACCAATCTCTTTTTACTATCCTTCATAATAGCAATCATTTTAATATTCAACATATTTAGACCAATATTGGCTCTCAAAGTGTCATTCTTTGTCTGACTTTCTGAATTATTTGCAGTGACGTCATCAGCAGAGTATACATGGAGAAGGTCATGGCAGGTTGAATATTGAGAGCGGATATTTAAATGTTGAAGGGTTAAGTTTCAGATGTTTTTAAAAATACTTGAAAGGAACTTGTTTGGAAGTGTTGATGATACAAAAATTTCTAATGTGTATGTGTTGATAACGTTATGGGCACATAGCCAAGTGGACAGAAAGTTCACTTTCCTACCACAAGATCTTGATTCAAATCTCACCATAGTTGATTTGTCAGGGAAGTGATGTCTTGATATTATCTACCTGGGGGATGTGATCCAAACAGGTGGCCTCATAGGGAAATGCCTGAATGCCATAGCACGAGATAAACCAAGCCTTGTGAGTGAAATTGAATAGATGAAACTGTATGAATGCCATCAGTGGTTTTGTTAGCACAGGATAACAAGTCATTGTGAGTGTACTGACTTTGGTCAAACTGTTGATCACATTAGATTATACACTCTCTGTCCCAGAAACTGTAACTAAGGTTCGCTCAGCATAGTTGCAGTATAAACCAAAGGTGGGCTCTGTGGGTAGGTGTTGAATAAACAAATGTGTCTGAGGAGGCTTCTGTGATATGGATTGACTAGCCACTCTTGTAGAGAAATTAGAAATATACAGAAATTTGCTCAGAAATTAGAAGCCAACTATGATTTGAAAGTATAATTTCTATTGTTTTATGCCAAATTTTAAACTCTCATTTATAAAGATTGGTTCGTTGATATAAGATTTAAATTCTGAGGCTATTTGCTTTTAATTAGAGCAAAAATGGAACATAATAGTGCCGTATTTGTAAGAATTGGTTTCCCTACATGAAATAGAAACATTAAAATGAGTTTTCTTAAAATCTGGCAAGGGATCACTGAGTTTTCTACCTTTTAATGAGATTTTTCATTATAGAAAAATTTTAATGTTATTTTTTACTTTCATGCAGAAATGCTGTAAAATTTTAATTTTTTTGTAAAAATTCAAAACTTTATTAGCAATCCCCTTACTACTGTATGTATTACTCTTGCATGCATCTATACAATCTATTACAAGCAATGCTGGAAAAATAGTCAGCTCATTGTATTGCTCCATTAAGTATCTGACTCCCCCTGCTATACTCTTTTAACAAAAGTCAGATCAGACCAAAAATGGAGTGTTACAGTCATATCTTGGCTCGGCCGTCACTTGCTTGTCTTGATTGTAAACAATAGTTTGAAATAATACAAGAATATTGACAATTACTCATCTTAGAAATGAAATACTAAGAAAATTGTAACTAAGGGTCATTCAGTGTAGTTGCATGATTTATAGATTGTGGTTGCTGAAGAAAGAGAAATATGACTGAGCAGGTGTCTGTGTCAGGCATTATCTTGCTACCCAAGCAGATAAACATGCTTGGATAATTTGGTGCTCCTCTTCTCTCAGTTGTTAATCTCTACCATGAAAATGTGACAGCCTGTTATAGACAGATAAGAATTAAACTTGATCAGCAAAACATAATGATTTCTTCAAAAAAATAATATACAAAGTGAACTATAAAAATCTTGCTCCAATGAAACAGTAAAAAAATTGATATTATTTGTGGATATAATTTCCAGTTTTTTTTTTTTCTCTCATGACTTCAAACAGCTTACTTTCCAAAGATGTTAAACTCAGAATTTCTTTGGGAAAAGAAAAACAGTTTATATTGCTCCCTGAAATTTAAGGATGAAAATTCTTTCCTTTCTGCATTGAGGTGCTGTCCAGATTGGTGTGGGAACACAAATATTGCACTTAGCTAACATTAGTAAAGCTGGTTGGCTAAATTCACACTGAAATGGAATGCTATGAACAGACAGAATAACTCCATTTTTACATGTGCAATACATTTATATATAAATATGACAGGCAAGTTAGTTTTTACTATTAAAACTATGTTGCAAAGTAAGTTTTTGCATATTGGGAATAAGCAATAAGAAATGCTGACAAAGGAAAGAAAAGGCTTTTTACTTAAATGTCAGCGTTTCACCAGAGATAGTCATCTTGAGCTGATCTCTCTCAAGCTGTGTCTGTCTTATTTGCTTACCATTTGGGGAGCAATCTGGTTGACTTTATTTCTCTGCTTGCATGGGATTGTCTGGATATTTTCTATATAAAGGTACATAATTATTTTGTATTGTTGCAGTGCCTCCAAAAATTTTTATGTGAGGTTGTTTTGGAAAATATACAGACCATATCATAAATTAGTCTTTTTTTTTTTTTCTTCATCTGTCTGTATTTCTGAGATGAGGTATTGTAACTATTTACACTATTCAGACCGTTGTCCTCATCATTATCATATTCGTGGCATTTCAGCCGTTGTATGTTGGAATTTTGAACTAAACCCTTTATTTTGTTCACTGGGGTAAATTGTTCTAGTTCTACGTGCCATGCCTCTTCTGGATGTCTCAGTTTTCAGTTATTTCCCTTTAGTAATTCAACTCTCTAAGTTTTTGTTGACGTCTGCTGTGACCAGGTATTGAACTAAATTCTTTGGGTCAATTCACTGGATTACTTCAACCTACACTTTTCATGTTTTTTTTTTGTTTTTTTAATCTTTTTTAAACTCTGGTTAAACTTAAGAACTCCCTAGATGCAATAACAGCAGAAATAACACTTCTATCTGAAGTTCATGTCTTCATGTCTTTTGGAAATCGTTGTAAAGATTCACTTCCAGACATGGCAGACACTATTAGTTTTATCATTATTCTACTTCTGTTGAATCTTATATACCATTGCAATGCATTGATTTGTGACATTTCTGTCTTGAGCTGCATCTTTCAAGTGCTGGTTATGACATTGACAAATCGTTTTTTTTTGTTTTTTTTTTCTCTCCAATCTTATTTCAGGGTCTTCTCGTCCCACAACATGTGATGGACGTGATTGATGAAGAATTCAGTAAACTATCATTCCTTGACAATCACTCTTCAGAATTTAAGTAAGTCTTTTTTTCTTTTTTTACTGATCTTGAAAATCTCTTCAGAAACTTTAATAGAAAAGATCCTTTTAAATAAATTCTTTAATCTGTTTTCTCATAAACCAGTTGAAAGGAAATGAGATGTATAGTCTGTTCATCTCTTTTTAAGAAAATTTTTATTTTCTTTGGCTCTGAAAAATAAATTGTAGGAAGATGATTCCTGAAAGGGTTTATTTCATTTATTGATTTGCCAATGCCAAACTGATTAAAACGTTCATTCTAATCAAATACAATTACAATTTTGGGATTCTCTTTCAAAGTTGAATTCTTCTATTAAAGCCCCTTCATTGTTTCAGAGTTACATTGTGTGGCTATCCTCACAAACTATGTGCTTGATCTGCAAAAGAGCATTCTAGAATTAAACTGCCATCAGATAACTTCACTGCCCTGTTTTGTCCAGCTTTTTAACCTCTTTTCTTTATTCCTTCCTTCCCCTTTTCTCCAAAACGCTCATCTTTCCTCCCAAACCCTCATCTTCCCTTCCCCTCCCTTTCCTCCCAAACCCTCATCTTCCCTTCCCCTCCCTTTCCTCCCAAACCCTCATCTTCCCTTCCCCTCCCTTTCCTCCCAAACCCTCATCTTCCTTCCCTCCCTTTCCTCCCAAACCCTCATCTTCCCTTCCCTCCCCCTTCTCTTCCCTTCCCCCTTTCCTCCCAAACCTCATCCCTCCCTCCCTTTCCTCCCAAACCCTCATCTTCCCTTCCCCTCCCTTTTCCTCCCAAAACCCTCCCCTCCTTTTTTCCCAAACCCTCATCTTCCCTTCCCCTCCCCCTTTCCCCTCCCTTTTCTCCCAAACCCTCATCTTCCCCTCCCTTTTCTCCCCTCTCATCTTCCCTTCCCCTCCCCCCAAACCCCTCATCTTCCTTCCCCCCTTTTCTCCCCGCTCATCTTCCCTTCCCCCTTTTCTCCCCGCTCATCTTCCCTTCCCTCCTTTTCTCCCAAGCGCTCATCTTCCCTTCCCCTCCCTTTTCTCCCAAGCGCTCATCTTCCCTTCCCCTCCCTTTTCTCCCAAGCGCTCATCTTCCCTTCCCTCCTTTTTCCCCCCTTTTCCTCGAGCGCTCATCTTCCCTTCCCTCCCTCCCTTTTCTCCCGAAGCCATCTTCCATTCCCTCCCTTTCCTCCTTCCCTTCCTTCCCCCCTTTCCTCCCAAGCGCTCATCTTCCCTTCCCCTCCCTTTCCTCCTGAGCGCCATCTTCCCTTCCCTCCCTTTACTCCCCTCATCTTCCCTTCCCCTCCCTTTTCTCCCGAGCGCTCATCCTTCCTTCCTTCCTTGAGCGCTCATCCTTCCTTCCCCCCCTCCCTTTTCCTTAACATCATTTTCTTCTTCCTCATCAACAGACACCTCATTTTGCTCTCTTTCATCTCTATCACACTAAAAATTATATAGGTTTCTCAGTCAGAAATCCTAAGTGATTTCAGTTAAGAATAGTCAGAAATCAAGCAGATACTACACTCTGATCCTAGGTAGAAAAGTGTAATGCATATATATATATATATATATATATATATAAAAGCAAAAGTAAACAGTATAGACCAAAGGTCTTTACATAATCATCCAACTTTTTCTTTCTACTCCTCAAATTTCTCTCACCCAGAACTATAAATGGGAAATGCAATTTCTAAATACGACAGAACTCTTTTACCCTTTTACTCTGCACATTTCTTCCATTTCAGGAGAAATGTAACAGATTTTTTTGTCTTTCAGTGTTACCCGGAATTATTTGGACTGGCTGACCAGTATGCCCTGGGGCAAAAGCAGTGAAGAGAACTTTGATCTGGACTATGCCCGCAGTATCTTGGAGAGGGACCACTATGGAATGGAAGATGTTAAAAATAGGATCTTGGCATGTATACTATTTTGCAGGATTCTAAAACTTCACAAACATATTTCCTATTACTTGAAGCATTATTTTGTAGCTACTCATGTTTGAGTAGTTACTCTGTTTTTGGGGGTGTTTTTTTTAATCAGTGTGAATTGCATCAAGCACTTTGAACATTCAAGAGACTAAATGAAGAAACTATGTTCTTTGGCAGGGATTGAATCTGTGTCCTCTTTTCTCGAGAAATTGACTTTCTGATCTGGCATGCTTTAGACCACTTGGCTATAAAGCACGCTGGATCAGACATTTGGAGTATTTGGAAATGAGATCAGATTTAAAAAAATAAAAATAAAAAAAATTATTTCTAAGCAAATATATATGCTGAATGTAACAGCAAAATTGTTCAATTGTTAGATTAAGCTTTGAACCATTGTATCTTAGAAATGATTAAAGATATCTTACTGGAATTCTTTAATGTTTTTATAACACTATTGGCTCTACTCTGAATAATAAGAATGTATAATTACTCTCCAAGCTTCACAGAAGAATCATAATGAAATTGATTATAAACAAAATTACATGTTCGTCATCATTAATTAAGGATCGGAAGCTCATGAAGGATTGAAATAAAGTTCATATATATATATATATATATATATATAATTCCAGGATCTACAACTTATTCAATCTGATCTTCACCCACTAACCTTCTAACATTCTGTCCTGGAGTAAACAAGGTGTCTCAGAGGTTTCACATACAATTTCATTTTCAAGTTTGTTTTTGTTTTTTTCACTCCTCTTTGGACTGTCATTGCTGAAACTCTTCTCTCACATGCCAAACACTCTTGGATTGAAATGGATCTTTTTTAATATCACCGTTGAAATGATGATCTCTCTTCCTGTTGTGACCTGATCCAGTTTTCCTTTCTACTATTCCCACTTATTTAAATTTATTCACCATTCTATTGATGGTTCTTGAATGGACTTTGAAGATGGAATCCAGTGTCTGAATGTTGGTACCATTACTGAAGGCCTGAATGATCTTTTCCCTCTCACCATTGCTCATTTAGGAAGACAGTGGGTTAAACACAAAACGATTTTAACTTGTTCTCTTTTTAGCTGCAAAACTCAAAGGGTTTTCAGTGATTCTTACAACAAATGGTGTTAAGATGGCTAAACCTGGAAAAAAGAAACTCAACTAGATTAGTGCTTTAGATATTAAATATTTTGTGAGATGAACAATTATGCTGTTACACCCAGTGTGTGTGTGTGTGTGTGTGTGTGTATATATATATATATATGTTATTTTTAGTGTATTATCATATTTGAGTAGATGCTCTCTTTATTTTTAAACAGTATATTTATTTATTTCTATCTGCCACCCTGAATATTCAAGAAATTAGAAAAAATATCCATTCTCTGGCAGGATTTACTAGATTTGACGTGCTTTTGACCTCTTGACCACAAAGGACCTACTGGCTAAAGTAAAGCCTGATTAGTGACCAAGAGATCAAAAGCATATCAGATCTAAGGAGGATCAAATTCTGCCAGAGAATGCATATTTTTCTAATAAGATTTCTCAGATATTCATGCCTGTAGATATAAATAAATAAATATCAGTCAGTTATGTGCCATGTGTGATACATGCTTAGATCATGTCATTCGATAGATGACTGACAAGGCAGATTTAGGTTGCCATTTCTTTCTATGGCAGACCAGTTGCCATCCAAAGCTATAGAACCCAGTCTGTCCTGCTATTTACTCATAACCGGAGGGAAAAGAAGAGGATTCATACCTTTCCCAAAGGTATTAGCATGTAAGTGAATGTAATAGATTTGACTGGAATTCGGACTCCGCTCTCCGATTCCTCAATCCAAGCCACTACTCCACCGTGCCTCCAAATATACTTTTTTTAATAAAGAGTGTCTATTAAATATATGGATATCCATTAAAAATAACATTTAAGCAATAAATTAAAATATTTCGGGTTAATAAATGAAAAATTCATTCTTTTTTTATATATATATATATATAAGAGATTTTTTTCTTTTAACAAGCTGAATTAAATTCATCCAACAAGATTTGTTTAATTTTTTTGTATTTTTCCACTTTACAGGGCAATCATGAATCTCCTCAGATATTTTGTTATATGCATAATTACTTATTATTTTTTATTGTTTTCAGGAATTTACTGCTGTAAGCATACTAAAGAAAACTACCCAAGGAAAGATTTTGTGTTTCTATGGGCCTCCAGGTGTCGGCAAAACCAGCATTGCCAAATCAATTGCCAAGGCTCTCAATAGAGAGGTAGGTTCCTGTGGTTGGTGTCGGTGTGTAAATTGCACCCTCTTTATTTAAGAGATTTAAAATTTGTATTCAAACAGCTGAGGTCAATAAAAAAAACATTTTCTTTCCTTTTTTTTTTTTTTTTTTTTTTTTTTTTTTTTATCCTCATGACACACACACACAGAGCTCCAAAAACGATCAGTGGCCTTTGTAGAAAGATAATGACCTTCTATTAGTCTGTTGTATCATATCAGAAGTTTGATTCTTTAGCTAAAACAGAAGTACTCACGTCAACATTCCCAGCTTGTATGGCAAAAACAGACCTTAATTTTATCCTGCCCTGTGCACCTACTTCTGAAATAGCATCATAAAACATTGAAAGCATACAAAGGCTATTTTCTCCTTTTGGTCAAGATAGTCAAATGACGGACACTTAGTGACATCACTCTATACAGTGATGAAAGTGGTAGTCAATTCAGTCAGTTTACAGTAACCAAACTGAGTGGTTGCTTTTTTAGCTTGGGCAAGGGGCCCCGAGCTGAGGCTATATCGGGACCCCACCACCACCTGCAGCTTACAGGCACATGGTGCTTTTTCCCTTTCGTTATATAACTTCCCTTCCCCAAATATAGAAGTCATCAATTTAGGAAAAACCAAAATTCCCCATTTTGAGTTCACAGAATATGTCCTTTCTTGGAATATAGTCGATGAATCTGGCTCATTTGAATCTCTATATTATATATAAGACCCTATATTTTAATTCTCCTTGCCCTCTGCTGTGGAGATATGATATATTATTCTCTACATAGGATACATGTGTGTGTGTATATATATATATATATATATATATATATATATATATATATATACTTTTGTTTATATCTTAGTGGTATAAGAGTTTCTCTGAGACCAAAGCATTTTTGTCATTCCTTTTCCTTTCAGCCATTCCATTCTGTCCATGAACTACAGTGATGTTATATCACAAATATAATAATGCCTATGACGGAAGAAACAAATCTTTCTTCCAAGCACCTTAGTAACACTTGTAAAAATATGGAAAGAGTCTAAAGTACTTTTTGCAGATTCTATTTTCAGGGCTGGTAACAACTTGCAATTTCTTGATTTGTTTTTTACGTCTTATCAACACTTTTCTGATTATTTAATGCCAGAAAATATCTTTATAATGTAAGAATTTTTTGGAGATAATAATGATTTTACTGATACAAGTCCTACTGAGTAATCTGTAGCTATTGGTGGGGGGGGATTCATATCTTTACCAAGGGTATTTGCACAAACGTGTGTAAGGCCCAACTGTCAATAGCAACCAAATATGTACCCCTGTTGTTGGCCCCAGACAGCGATAACCAATTATGTTACCCAATCATCAGTCCTCAAGTTTCTTCCGTCATTACCATTTAGCTGACTCTTCACTTGTTAGTACATGTCTCATTTTGTCACTGGTATCATCTTGGTGACACAGTTCCACTCAATGTGTTTATTTGGGTACACATTGTTGAGCCAATTTCATTTAGTTTGTTTGTATTTGTCTTTATTACTTATTAAGCGTCCCACTTTATGATAGATAATAGAAGAGAGGCCAAAAAACGTCAACCCTCGACACAAATTCACTGTGGATGATTCTGGCATATAAAATTTTACATATCACATTCTTTAATATACACACATGCGCGCACACACACACACACACACATGCACATATATTTTTATTATAATAGATTATAATAAAAACATTTTACATCACTACACAAAAGATTTCACGTTTCAATACTATGATTGTACTTTGTCAGACGATGGTAGATAACTTGTGATAAAAAATGATTTATTTGGGAAATTTAAAAAACAAATTGTTACCTCTTTTTGCAAGTGGGCACATAAGGTCAGAATTAAAAATATTCTTGTGGGTATATCTAGATTAAGTAATTAAAAGTCAGATCGATGCTAAAAAAAGATCAGGGTGGAAGTGGGTGCATTACTTTTATTCATGTCACGATAAACTAGCTCCCAGATGTGTGTGTGTATATATATATATATATATGAGGATGTGTAATACACACTCACACACAGGTTGTCCCATCATTATGGGACACATCTTTAATGCAATTATCTTGGATTATAAAAATGACATAGACGAGTAGCAAATATATTTATTACGTAATTGATATACAAGAGTTTGCACTGTATGTATGAGTATTAGCAAGACAATTTCTTTAGAATCTAAGCACCAAATTAATTTTTAAAATGATCTGGTTGTATGTAAGTAACTTTAAATGCCAAATTAACCCAGTAGCAAATGCTTTGGGTCCTTCATTTTTAGGGCCACACATTAAATACCTTCACGCTGTCTGGTGAAATTAGCATTTTATGATCTGGCAATGTTCATTTTTTACATGTCGGTGGGAAAATTCTTCATTAATTAATATTTCAGGTAACATATCAAGGCCACTAAATCGACAAATATCTCTTGAGAATCATTTTTTGGGGGATTTGAGAGTGTGCAAGTGGTGTAACAGATGAGAAATTGTAGAGCTTAGTTTGAATTTCAATCTGGTTCATTATATTTACTTGCGTACAAATATGCTTTGCAAAGGTATGAATTCATCTCCCCCCCAGTTATGGGTTAAATAGTAGGATGTGTATCTGGAAAAATCATTATTCTAACAAAAACTTAATGCAATATTCACTTACAAAAAAAAAAGAGTTAAAAATTTAAATGTGTTTCTGCTTAAAATAAATCACAAGGGGTTGATAAACCCTGAAAAACAATCAGTCTGAGTTTGGTATTTACCTGTTCTGTAAGCTCTGGCACTATGCCATGATTTAATATTTATGTATATTTTTTGTTTAATTTAGCGCTCCTTTTTAACATAAACTATAGGTCCTTGACTAGCATAATCTGACTCTAGCAGCCTTTCATTGTTACATTATCTTTGAGACAACAAAACAAGAGTCTGGTGTGTGAAGTCACTCAGCAACTAGAATGTTACTGTCTTCTTGTTTATTCATACTTATTTTCTGAAATATAAAACTTTAAATTTGTTTCATTTCAGTATTTCAGATTCAGCGTTGGTGGCATGACTGATGTAGCAGAAATCAAAGGGCACAGGTAAGAATATCAAATGGCTCCAGTGTCTGTCTATATTTCTGAGATGAGATATTATGTACATTATTTACATTATTCGGACAATTGTCCTCATCTTTGTTGCCATATTTATCACAACGTTTTGGCTTTTCAGTATCTGTCTATATTTCTGAGATGAGGTGTTATGTACATTATTTACATTATTCAGACTATTTTCCTCATCTTTGTCGCCATATTTATTACAACGTTTTGGCCATTGTACGCTCTGGCCTTCTTCAGGGGGTTGGAATGTCAAACTGAAGCCTTTATTTCGCTCACTGGGGTTTGTTTCAACAAAAAGGATAATTTCTTTTTTGGTGCCACAGAAACACGTCGCACATTGGCTTGGCATTCTTCCACAGGCAGGGTCTTAGCTGGTCACAAACCTGGGTGTGAGAGGTATACCGACACTTCAGAATTCTTGCAGCCCTCTGTTGAATTTGTACTGTTTTGGACTTGTATCCAAAACCCAGACAAAGGCAATCCATCATTGTCAGAAGACCATGCCCACAAGGCACTCCAGCCAATCACTGACCATTCTGGCCCTGGTCTTCGCATTCTGTTACAAAGCAGAATTCTGGGTCACACACCATACACAGGCAAAACATTTTGATAGATTTCAGTGCTTTGCAGTCTCTTGGAGATGAACAAGAATTACCTTTGCGCTAGTTTCCTTCACCTCTTTGACATGATTTTCAGCATCTTGCACTTTCATTTGCTAGGCCAACTTCAAGTTTTCTTTCTCCCGCTGCTGTTCTCGGATTGTCATGTCATGTTAAATGTGTTGTTCCCTCAGCAACTGCGAACGTTCTTCATCGGACCCTGTCTTTACCTTCAGCTAAAGAAAAGACCATATAATTCATTTTTGATTAGTTTATCTTTAATCTTATTGTAGCTTTTTATTGAAGTACTCAGGTTGTTAATCTTGTATTGCTGTAGAATTGTTGCCTGGCTGTGCTGGCCAGTTTTGGGAAATTGCCATTTACTGGAAATAAATGACTATAAAAAAGCTGAAAAGGATTTCTCATTGGCACCACCATTTTGGTTTTGATCTGCAGTACAGACTAAGTTAAATGATACTGCCCCATCCCCAAACACATATAATGAAGAGATATATGCTACAAAAGAGGGGGGGGTTCTATGCAGGTTTGGTAATAGCATTAAGCACTTCTATGTGCCACATCCGTTCAGGTGATTATGGCTCTCCACAACTTTCTATCTCCTGTTGCTTTTAGCATTTTTCTCATTTTGCTAAGGCCTCCATTCTGTCCCACCATCCATTCACACAAGCTCAACTTATAAGTGGCTTGCTGCCTTCCCCTATCTCTCTTGCCCTCAGTAGGCCCTGTGAGGGTTAAGTTCTCCAAGCTGTCTTTTCTCATTATGTGTCCAAGGAATTTCAGCTGTTTCTTTCTGATATTGAGTAGTGTTTTTTCTGTTGCCATTTTCCTTAAAACTTCATTGTTGCTTACTCAGGCTTACAGTCATATCACATTGAAACACCTGTTCCTGTATGATCACATAAGTTAAGCAATGTCAAGCCTGGTCAGATGGCTGACCATTTGGGAATACCAGGTACTGTAAGCTTGGAAATGCAGGTGGTGTAATGGTTAATGGCTCAGTTCCAATTCCAGTTAGTTTCATTGTGTCGACTTATGCACTTTGGAAAGATATGAATCCTCCCCTCCTCCCCCCCAGTCATGAATTAATTAGTAAGACTTGTATTACTAAATCCTTATTATCTCAAAAAAAAAAAAAAAAAAAAAAAAAAAATTATTTTCTGGCTTTAAATAAGCGTTGATAACTCATAGAAAACTAATCAAATTTCAATTATCTTACTTGTTCCATCCTTGGAATTTTCAGTATCCTTCTGTAGAACCAGATTTCTGCTGCTTCTAATTTTTTGCCCTCCCTCATCCTTACTAAGCACTAGTTGGTTTAAAACACAGACACTAAAGACCAACATTTCTTGAAAATGCATTTATCCAACTCAACAGCAGTCAAAGGTGTCTAAATAAATCGCATCATTGGAAATGGTAATAAGAAAATTTGCTCCAAGAAATTTAGATGATGAATTTTCTTTTCTTTCCTTCTTTACAAGAAATGCTTAGGTTATTACTATTTATTTTCAAAGATTAAATTAAAAAAACAAAACAAAAACAATTTGCTTTTTCAGGAGAACGTACATTGGTGCCATGCCTGGAAAAATCATCCAGTGCTTAAAGAAAACCAAAACAGAAAATCCTTTGATCCTCATTGATGAAGTAAGTAATTTCTTTCTTCCTTATCTCTTTTTTTGCAATGCTGTTCATCCTGTACAAAGCACAAGAGTCACTCAAGGTAGAGGGTTGCAGAGTAAGGGGGCTCCACTGCAAGCAAGGTGATAATGCCACTAGCACGCAATGGAGCCACCAAAAGTAAAAGAGAAGGGAAAGACTTAAGAAAAAAACAGAAAGCAAATCATATACAGAAAACAAGGAATAAACATCTACTCTTAAAGACCAGGGAGGAATGGGAACCAGATGATAGATGAACTTGTTGCAGACTGGCAAATGTATTTTGAGTGATGAAAGGATTTTTAGCATTGGGTGTTCTAAAGACATTCGTCCACAACAATTAAAGAAAAATATTAGAAATAATCATGCAAGCAGGTTGAAAGCAAAAACAAACATTAAATGTACAACAATAACGTTGGTTTATATTCAATTCAAGAATACAAGTGAGTTGAACTTTGATGAATAAATGAGAATAGATGTATTTGGTTGCATGGAATAATATTGTGAAATATGTTTGAAAGTGTTTACAATCAGATGTGTTCAGTTACATACAGAATTGTCCTCTGTGCTAGTTCTGTTATTATTACGTGTATGTAAGTTTGTTTGTATTATTGTCCAGAATTGGTAGGAATTGCATATCTTTAGTTGTGTGAGAATTTGATTGTTTACTAATACTTATTAAGTAGTGAGAAAAAAAATGTCACTTTTTAAAGTATCGTAAGTGATGTTTGGATAACGTTCCTGAGAGAGAGTGTGCTTGTGGATTGTGCACAGCAAAGTCTTGGTTGGTCAGAGTTTTGACTTGCGTGGGTCAGTTTGGCATCTCTCTAGTAATGAAAGTCTGACTGTTTGAAGCAATCAGGAATTTCCTATTTATAGATTTCTGGTGAAAAATATAAGCTCCGGCAGCTTGTGCACGAAATAGCATTTTCACGTGAATTTGCTACAGTTCTAAGGCTTTTGACCAATAGGAAACTTTGTTTGCTGAAACTGGAATTTTGATTGGTTGATAGACATTTTGGTGTGAAGTGGATTACACTGGATGGGTGAAAGGTTAGTATAGATTATTCCAACAAACTGGTTCTACTATTATTGAAGGAAAAAAAAAAGAGATATGAACTAGAAACCCAGTCTTAAACAATAAACAAAGGATAAACCACTACTCCTGTTCAAATAACTGGGGAAGAGTGTGAACAGGATGATAGGTGAACCCATTTACTCATATTGAGAAAAAATGTTGGTAAATAGTAAATAAAATTTCAGGGTTTAGGCAAAGATGTTAAAATATAGAGTCGAAGTAGACTTTAGAAGGTATAGGAAACGAGGGATAAACCTTTGCTCCTGTTCAAAAGACCAGTGAGTAGTGTAAAGCAGATGATAGGTAACTCCTGTTGAGGAAAAAATAAAAATAAATGAATAAATAAAACTTCTGTGTTCAGGCAGAGATGTTAGAATTAAAATAGTTTATTTAATTGAATAAATCTTGCAATTGCGTGAAAAATTGAATTAACCATGTCAACTGAACAGTTAATTTTTTAAAAAGTAATTTTCTCTGACCAACCATCTTTTAAAAAAAAAAAAAAATTTTCCTTTCACCTTGTCATCTTAACTGAGGTCTGTTTTTGAGATCTGGGCAAAGGTGTATAGTAGGGGTCAGCATTTTAAAATCATTCAGTGTGCCAACCGCATATGTATTTTTATATAAGTCATGATCAATATACCTGTTTTACAATATATTTTATATAGTAATATATAGTATATATACTTTAGTATATATACTTTAGTATATATCAAAATTGAAACAGCTAAATATCTTCTTTGCATTATAGTAGTTACTGGTTCAGACTTCATAATGTCATTTGCGGCTGCATGCCATTAGAAATTGCTTGGTGTGCCACATGTTGCCAACCCCTGGTGTATAGTATTTTTTTTCCCTCTAACCAAGATTCCCCACGGTAGAATCACTCTGAAAATTGCTCCCGCTATCACACACACACACACACACACACATATATATATATATATATATATATATATATATATATAGTGTTTCCTGTTTTTAAAATTTATGCATTTACTTTTCCAAAAAAATTTTAATCATTTGGATTTTTTTTTTTAATTTTCTCTTTCAGGTGGATAAAATAGGCAAAGGTTATCAAGGTGACCCTGCATCTGCTCTTCTTGAACTCCTAGACCCAGAACAAAATGCCAACTTTTTGGACCATTATTTAGATGTTACTGTTGACCTCAGTAAGGTAAGTCTTGGATATACATAGATGTTAATCACATTTAAATCAGCAAATACAACATTACATTACTGACATCTTTATTTTTTCCTCTTTCTCAGGTTCTCTTCATTTGTACAGCCAATATAACTGAAACCATTCCTGAACCTCTGCGAGACCGAATGGAAATGATCGATGTATCCGGCTATGTTGCAGAGGAAAAAATGAACATTGCCAAAGTAAGCCAATTTCTTTTCCCCTCGTTTTGCTCCAAGTGTCATGGAAGAAATATCCGAGATCTCTTTACAGAATTACTCTGCTCTTCCCAATCTGCAAAACTACGTTCAACCATTTAAAAATCCATTTCTTTTCTTCTTTCTGTTACCCTGTTTGATGGCACAAGCTGACACCTAAATTTACATTTAATAATACAGTAATATATTGTAAACATACCCCAGGTCTGTCTCTCTCTCTCTCTGTCTCTCAAGACCACTCACATTTTTCTATTCTCATTTGCATTGACATGTACATAAACCAATAAAGGTCTAGGGATTATATTCACAAAGGAAACAAAAGTTGAAATTAACATCACAGCGCAAAATGAAAACTCAAATCTTGTTTCCAGTATATTTTGGTTGTTTATTCATAGATTCACTTGAGTCAGACTAGCAGGAGGTAAAGTAATGCTTAGGACGATTTCTTCTACTTCTGTCATGACAGACTAACGGACCAACTGTTCCTTCCAGTTGTAGCAGGGTAACGATCCTGAAGTCAACATTTTATAAGTACAAATATAAAAATGACACCCTAGAACACTAACCATCAATTAATGTTACACCACTACTAGCCATGGGTATATAATATCAAAAAAAATATTAAATATAAATCTTTATTTGAAATATTTTACATGCAGGCACTTCAAACTTTGTACTTTGAGCGAACATTAATAGGAACTGAAAAATATATTATTTAGGTAAGAAAATCAGTTACTGAAAATTGTAATTAAAAATAGGAAAATTTGCGCTGGTTAGTGTTCTAGCGTTAAAATTTAAATAAACAGAAAAAACATGGTTTGGCAAATTCAGCTCTGACTTCAGGAGGGTATGAACCCTGAACCAGAAATTGGAAAAAAGAAATGAGAAATTAGGTTGATGGCCGGTCTAATTTATTTTCAAGTGCAGATATCAGTGCAAAATGCTTTTCGTCCAGAACAGAGCCATCCTGGGTATGACAACAAACTACATCCAACAGCATGGCCTCTGATCAGGAAGTTTCGAGGAGTGTGTGAACCATCTCTTAATTGCTGTTGTTCCCTGGTTCATTCTGACCTGGGGTGGTAGCATCTGTTAGGGTCCTAGTTGTGGGCAAGTGGTTGAGCCCCCCCCCACCCAAACTGGGGTCAAAACACTATGAAAGTGTAAAAATAGGTTTTAATACCAGCAATACATTTTTGTAAAAATATTACCAGCAATGAATTTTTGAAGAAAATTGGAGAAAAAAAAAAAAAAAAATGTTAGCATCAGTACAATTTTAAAAAAAATTTTACCAACAATAAAAATCTTGTCAGCATTAAAATAGCCAATTGAGGTTGATATGCCATAAAACAAAACAAATCAAACCAGAATGGGGTTAGTCTGCTGATAGCTGGTACTTAAATAAGTTTTTTTTTTTTTTTTTTTTTTTTTATAAACTCCACCTGGATGGCCACAGTGTTTAAAAAGTGGTCAGTACAGATTTGAAAACTGATAAGGGCAAAATTAATTTAAAGCTAAGTATTAGAGAAATTGGATGTCCTTTTTCTGTGACAATCATCTGCAATTTTTATAATTATCGTTATTTTGGATTTCTGTTGAGGAATCCTTCACTACTGGGAGAGCCATCTTGGTTAATTTAAAGGGATATGGAGATAATGAAATGGGAGCATTGTAAATTATCATTTTTTTTTTTTTAATACCTGGCTAGGTAAAGTGAAGTCATTAATCATTGTTAATGGGGAAAGATTTCCCCATATAAGACAACACGTATTTCACTTAGCAGACATTTTCCATGATTGAAGCAAACAGACCCTATCCAATAATGCACACATTGTTTAATTACAAGAATAATTTTATATTTATGTCCATGTTTGCTGAAAATTGTTTCTCCCAAATATACCCAAGCTGAAAAAAAAAGATTTGATCTCTTAATACATTCTGGGCCAAATTAAGTTAGTGTGGCGCCATTGGCATATGTTAAAAAGGGGCCCTTAATTAAAAAAAAGAAAGTACACATATTTAATAAATCATAAATTATTTCCTCGTACAGTGATAGAGCTTATAGAAGAGGTAAATATTTAATTATACTTTTAACATAGTAAATACCTGGAAAAATGAGGCAAAAGATTCTAATGAAATACTTTAGTAGATTTAAAAATAGCAAGCTACTCTCATTTTCTGAGAACACCCATCTACTTCAGCGACTAGCCAATTCCAGTCACAGACACCAGCACAAGCGCATTGGTGTTTCTTCAACACCCAAAGGGACCACTTTAGCTTTATGCTGCAACTCTGCTGAGCTGACCTTACAGTTTCTGGCAGAGAGTGCATAATCTGTCATTATCAGCAATTTGAACAATGCTCAAACCCTCGGTCACGATGACTTGCGACTTTCTGCTAGCACAACTATCAATGGCTCCCCCAAAGAGTCTTGTCTACCCAGTTTCACTCACAAGGCTTTGGTCAACATGTAATATGGTTTTCAGCACTTTCCAAAGGTGCTGCATGCTGGTATTACATCCCCAGACTGATAACCTCAAGAAGTAACCTGCTTGACAAATCGACCCACAGTGAGATTTGAACCCGGGTCTCATGATTGAAAAGTTAATAATGTTCTAACTACTTAGTTACATGTCTATTTAACAGCCTTGATCATATCAGAAATTAATATTTAAGGCTATAGCTCCCCTAGCACATTACCAGATCATAAGATGCCAATTTCAATGGACAGTTTGAATATATTGTTGGATCTGGAAAAATGTGGGGTCTGTAGCATTTGCTGTTCTTGCTACTAGGTTAATCAGATATATTCATAATTGTTAATTCCAATCTCAAAACAGAAAAGAAAAAAAAATTTTTTTTTTCCCTCTCTTATATTGCTCTTGAACTTTTACCTTTCAGTCGTATCTTGTTCCTCAAGCCCAAAATAATTCAGGTGTCCTTGGTGATGTAGTGGACATCAATGACGAAGCCATGAGGCTGCTTATTAAATGTTACTGCAGAGAAAGTGGAGTTCGAAATCTGCAGAAGCAAATTGAAAAGGTATGAACTTCCCTACTTTTTTGTCTTCATGTCTCAATTGCACAGATTTTTTAATGACTTCACCTCGAGCAAGGTGATAATGCCACTAAGACGCAATGGTCTACTAGGAGTGAAAGAGAATAAAAAGGCCTTAAGAAGGAACCGGAAAACTGAATTCTAAACACAAAATGGGATGAACCCCTACTCCTGTTCAAAAGCTGGAGAGGAGTATGAACCGGGTGGTAGGCAAACCTATGTACTCCATTGTTCTACATCAAACTATTTTTAATAATCTCTCCTCAATTTTATGATCTGTCAAATTGATATTTCACATCCTCAACATAATTCAGATGCTCAAATTTCTTTGTGTAGTTGCCATTAAAATACTGTTTCAGCCAAACCATTTCTTAGTTGTGTGAGATTATATATACATTCTAAATAAGTAATTTTCCACCCCTAAGAGGCAAAAAAGTACACATAAATAACAGTTCTCTGTGTTTAATGACAGAGCAGAAAACTTATTTTGTAAGCAATGTTTCTCTTGACTAGCCAGTTTCATGTACTCTGAAATTGTCATATAGAGCATAAATGAATGGAGTCGTCCGTTTATATAAATAAGCAGAGTTGAGGAGATTTGGCATTAGGTTAATTACTAAGTATACCTTTGTGTAGGAGGGACAGTGAAGTAATGGATAACGGCTTGGATTGAGGAATCAGAGAGCCGAATTCAAATTCCAGTTGAATCCATTACATTCACTTACGTGCTAATACCCTTGAAAAAGGTATGAATCCTCTTCTTCTCCCCGCAGCTATGCGTAAATAGCAGGATAGACTGGGTTCTATAGCCTTGGATGGCAACTGGTCTACTACAGAAAGAAATGGCAACCTACTGCAGGAGAAAAAAATCTGCCTCATCAGTCATGTATCAAAAGATACATGATTGCCTAAGCGTGCATCATGAATGGTACATAACTGACTGACCTTCATGTAGTAAAACTTCTGTTTCATTACTTACCTACCTTTGTCATCCTTATTTATTTCCCTCTGTTATCTCAAAAACACAAGATACAACGGAAATAGTCGTCAAGTGACCAACACAGCTTGTTGCATTTACACCCACAAAGACAAATGCAAAATCTCAGCCAGACACAGAAAAAGCATTCATTCTAACCAAATATATATAAATCTTACAATCTAAAAAGTATTTTCAGGTTTTAAATAACGAGTCATGTAAATTAACTTTTTTTTTTTTTTTTTTTTTTTTTTTTACCTGTCAGGTGTACAGAAAAGCTGCATTTAAAATTGTAAATGAAAACATCCAAAAAATCACTGTGTCTCCTGACAATCTGTCTGATTTTGTGGGTAAACCACTTTTCACAACGGAAAAGATGTACGAACAAACTCCTGCTGGAATTGTCATGGGATTAGCTTGGACAGCCATGGGTAAGTGTGACTTTAATTTTTTTTATTCTTTTAAATTTTCTTCATTTGAGAGAGCCACTCAAGGTAGAGGGTGTGATATGAATCTAATCTGTTACTCCCGTAGTTAATCTTGACAGATAAAATAATAGATAAGACTGTTAAAAAATCGTAATAGAAAAGGAAGATTATGAGAATAGGGAGGATAGATAATGCTTGACCCTTGACTTGGAGAAGTTAAGATTGCAGGGTTCAAGGAAACATCCATGTGGAAGTCTGTTCCACAAAGTAGTAGTGCTTGTGGGTGGATGAAAGCTGTGTGAGTGGAATTTCCCCCTGTTCCAATTAGAATATGAGGGAAATGAAGTTGATTTGATTGTGTGGCTGTTGCAAGGCAGGTCTTGGCTGTAAAGGACTGAACTGATGTCACTAAAGAACATTTGAATATCTACCATGGAAATAGTGATAGAGTAACGATAATTTTGTGACATTGCATTTGAGGGGAAAGAGGTTGTAGAGTGGAAAATAAATCATCATTGTCAAGACTTCATAAACGATTTCGAACACTATCAAGGTTGGTGTAAGCATTCTGAAATCAAAGGAAATATTTGTCGCAGATTACTTCCACAATGCAGAAAACAAATCACTGTAAGTTTAGACTCAAATATCGGAGACAGAAAAAAAATGTCAAAAACATGATTCGCAGGTACAATCTCACAAATCACAATGCACATAACCAGTCAGAAAAATAGCTCACTCTCCAATGAACGCAGTAGCCAAAATACACAAATTTTTCCTTTCTGATTTGAGAACACCAACTGCTTTTATCAGACAAACATTTTTTTCAATTCATCAACAACTGGGAGAGGACGCCCAAATTTTTGCATATCAAAATACTTATATCGACTCCTGCAACGGACTTGTTTTTAATTTAAATATTCTGTCTTCAGCATGTCATGCTGAATACATGCCCTTATTTTTGGTATGTAATTTTCTTTTTCGACACATTTTCCATCATAGGATACATGTGACACGCTGTCACTGGGTTTGACAAGGTAAGTCTGTTTTCTTCACGATAGTTGGAAAGTGGGGATTGAGCAGTTCTGGTCTGTATTAAATTAATGTCAGCAATATTCCATTTTTGGTCAAATTGGTCTCTTGTAAAGATAAAGCATGGAAGGAGGAGTCTGTTCTTCCTGGACTGGTAGAATAAGCCAACTATTTTTCCAGCCTCTTTTAGCAAAGATAAGTAGAAACAAGCAAATGATAAATGTGAATAATATATTTTGATTATATATTTAGTAAACTAAAAGAAAGTTAGTAGACATGACTTGAACCTCTAGAATAACTCAATAGAGACACAAACACATAGTAAATGTTAATGAAAAGATGTGATCTAATGTTGGTCAGATTAAAAGAAGGTTAGACTAAAGGATATCTAAACACCCATAGAATTGATTGGTAGAAAAATTAACAAATTTTAAATTGAATAAAATGGTTTAATCCAATATTTATTGGTCTGTTTACTAAAATTTAACCCAATGACTGCAGTTTCCCCCTCATTGCAATTCTGTGTCACAAAAACGTTCTGCCAAAGTTAATGGGTTCAATATTTTCTAAGTTTGACCTAGTCTGGTACAAGGCCCCAAGATAGAAATTTTGCCTTATTAACCAAGGCTGGTATAACATTGCTTTATAACTAAAACTACATGTAACATATTTTTCTTTACAGGTGGCTCTACTTTGTATATAGAAACATGCCTGAAGCGTCCCCTTCTGGAGAATGACAAAGAACCAGGTTCGTTGGAAACAACTGGTAATCTTGGACAAGTGATGAAGGAGAGCATCCAACTGGCATTTACATTTGCCAAATCCTTTATGGCTGACAAACCTCCAAATGACAAATTTCTTCAGCATGCACATCTCCATCTTCATATACCAGAGGTGAGTAACCTGATCTTGTTGATATCCAGACTGCCCAGGTTTTAGTTGCTGGGATTCCAAATATTTAACAACACATCTTTTAAATGATCAGTTCTTTTCTGAAGGAAAAATGGAAGCAGCATATCAGTTGAAATAATATATATAGATTCTATTCAGAAATATATACAATAACAGTAAAATAGTCAATTTTCCTTGCAGTGAAGTTTGTTTTATAAAGTAATTAAGTGTTCATAGTGTGATATGAAATGTGTAGCCAGACTTTATGACGGTCAGCTTAATGTGTATATAAATTTGTAGAGAAAGCCTTCATTGGCAGTTGCTGGTTAATCCCTTCTATTGTGTGTGTGGACAAGGCCTTAGTCAGTTGCAGCTGGCTCTCTTCTATTGTTTAGGTGCAGGTGTGTGTACACGTGTAGATCAAACTGTCCTCCCAAATTGGTTTGAACCACGAGAAGTGGTATGCTTCTATTTTTATATATGTAAGGGTATTCAAAATCTAATTTCGCATAGCTTTGTGAACTTTTTGAAGAAAAGGTTTTCATTGGTTAGAAAATAATTTCACACTGGCTCGCGAAAATCTTTTTCTCAAATTTCTGTGAGTGTTGAAGGGAGTTATTTTCTAAATAGTTAAAAAATAACACGTAGGTTTACAACTATGTGCACAAGCATTTTAGCAGTATTTAGCCTAGTAATTATTGTTTATCAAACAAACCTTCTGATGGGATTTTACTGGTTAAATTATTTCAACCAATAAAATCCCATAAGAATGCCATCTGTTGAGTGCTGATGGCTTAGGGGTAGAAACTCTGACACCAATTTTACCATTATACCCAGGACTATTTACTAGACACCTACTCATAAAAAATGAAGCAAATTTGGTACTAATATTTGTGCAAAACTTCAGTAACTTTAGTACTTGCTAAAATCCCAATAAAAATGCTTAAAAAAAATATTGTTTAATTGTCATTTCTTAATCTTTCTCTGGATTTTGTTTTTCTTTAATATCTCTACATGCCACGACATAGTGTAACCATTTTGGAATTTATTTGACATGTGATTGTTGTTTTCATAACTTATTCAGACATAGATGTATCTCTCCCATCTATTTATTTACTTTTTTTAAAATAAAAATATGCAATTGATTGTATTTCAATTTTACTTTGTCTTTGTCTTCAACTGATCTGTTTTTTTTTTTTTTTTGTAACTGCCTTTTACAGGGTGCCATACCTAAGGATGGCCCGAGTGCTGGTTGCACCATTGTCAGTGCATTACTCTCTCTTGCCATGAACCGTCCTGTACGACAGAACATTGCAATGACTGGTGAGATATCTTTAACCGGTAACATCTTACCTGTTGGAGGAATTAAAGAAAAAACAATTGCTGTACGTATATTGAACTGGGATGTTTCTGGTTTGTTTTGAAAAAGTGATAATTGTTGTGTGTGTCTATATTATTTCAAAAAGAATATATATATATATATATATATATATATATAAAAACGGGTATATCCATTTTAAAAACATTTATCCACTAAAAATACAAAGTAATAAGTAATGTCAGATTGTAAATAAAATTAAAATTAAATAAGTCATAAATTCCTTAGAAATTTTACAATACATTGAAGCAGGAATCTGTCAAGCAAAATGTAATCAATGACTGCTGAAGTAGATCAGCAAAACATCCCAAAAATTAAGGAAAAGAATAGAGGAATATAAAATTAAGCTTCACATTTTTTGTGATCAGAATTTTGACTTGGAAAGTGTTTTAATAAAAAGAAAAAAAATACAGACCTTCACTGAAAGTGAAAATGCTACGATGCAGGAGTTGCTTGCGGGTTTTTTTTTCTTTTACGTTAATATATACTATTATCATTTATCAGTAGGATTAATGTTTGAGACATTCTATTATTATCGGTGTGCAAAAGTTTTTTTTTTTTTTTTTTTTTTTTTAAATCGTTTTCAAAATAAAAAATACATTTGCTCGCGCATTCACACAAACTTGATGTAACTGTCAGTAGGGGGTAGTATGAATTATCTCCCTTGAGAAAAATGAATTATCTCCCTTGAGCCATTGTTTTAATCATTCTGAAGTTTTAATAAATTACTTTGTCGATTATTTTAACATTTAATAATGCCAGAATGCACTCATTTCTCAAACAAGTGAACTTATTGTGTTTCTGCTTCTTAAATATTTTGAAAGACACACTTTCTTCTTTTTTCTTGTTTTTTTTGTTGTTGTTTTTTAAGAACAGTTTCAAGTGTGTTAAATAACTACAGGTATTTCAGATTGCCTCCAACTTTGCTGTTACCAAGATTTGGTACCTTAAATATGTGATTTAAAATCTATGACTCTTAGTCATTTACACACAAATGCCAAAATGCTGAATTTTAAAATTGAAAAACAAATATCCACTTTTTTTCTGTAAACCTATAAAGACTCAGGTCTTGATAATGAGTAAGTTGAATAGCTTTTAGAAATATGAGATATGTTTTTACTTTTATTACATACTTTGAACTCTTATATACATGGTACTTATAAGTTTGGAGGATTTTTTTTTTTTTTTTTTTACAAAAGTTCATTAGAAGAAAAGTGTGAATTAACTTCCTTTAAGACGCAGCACATTGTTTCATCTGTTCTGAAGTTTTTTTTTGGATTTGATTTTTGTTTTTTGTTGTTTTTTTTTTTTTTTTGTTTTTTTTTGTAGGTGGGTATACTCACCCAATACAAGGCCCGAGAGCCATTCAAGACAGACACTTAATGTAAGAATAGGTTGTAGGAAGTGAAAATTGTGAGAATAAAGAGTAATAATAATAAGTGGTTAAGATTAGAAGCATAAATGTGGAAGTATGTTCTATGTGGAAGTAGCAGTTCTTGGGTAGCAAAGGTTGAGGAGCTACCTAAGTGGAACTTCCTCCTCACATTTGGAATTCAGAGGAATGGACATAGTATGGCGTGTCCTAGCTTTAAAACTCTGAACTGATGAAACTAACAATTGAAGCTCATTTGAATCCTATTACCATAGGAATAGCCATAAGCTTTTGTCTTTGAGTATGTGAGGAAAGAGGCTGCAGAATAGAAAATACATCCTTTTGTATGTTGCACATTTCTCGGGTTCTTTACTGGAATTTTATTGGATGGACATTTATTTTAATTTAGATATTTACCAAATTTGGTTGAGTAATTAAACGGTAAAAGAAAATGTCTACTATTTAATTAAAGTCTTTCTTTCTTTTTTTTTTTTTTTTTTTTCCTTTCCAGGCCAAGCGGGTGGGTGTGGACTGCATCATCTTGCCAGCTGAAAACCAAAAGGATTATTCTGATTTACCATCATTTATCACCGAGGGCCTTGAGGTTCACTTTGTCAATCACTATCGAGATGTGTTCCATATTGCATTTCCCCAGTGAGTGATCAAAACCACACAAACTATTAATCAATCATCTCTTGACTAATTTATTTGAGGAAAGAAACTAAAAGATGGACTTATTGACCTACCAATTTGACTATCATCCATCAGTAAAGCAGTTGTTCAGACAGGTGGAGGGGGGGGAGTAAATAGAAGAATTAGCAGCCCAAGTTGAATTTAGAGATAGATTCAAATATAATGTGTGTAGTTAGGCAGCAATCTTTTATTAATGAAGGTTTGATTAAACACATTTCTCTTTTTCTTTTTTCTTTTTTTTTTAACTTGTTGACACTGCATCTCATGTGCAGATCCACTGATGGATATTGTCCAAATTTTTGTGATCATTATTTTCCTTCATTTTTGTTTTTCTTACCACAGTGTTTCAGCTGTTGCACCTATTGGTCTTCTTCAGGAAAAGTCAGACTGAACCTTTTATTTAATCTCTGATGGTAGATCGTTCTCATTCTGCTGCAGCTTACAGCTGCATCACATTGAAAAAAAAAAAAAAATGATATGATCACCAAAGTTAAGCAATATTGAGCCCAGTCAGTACTTCGATGGGTAACTGTTTGGGAATAACAGGTGCTGTAAGCTTGGATGTGCAGGTGGTGTAATGGATAATGGCTCGGAATTGTTAATCAGAGAGCTGAGTTCCAATTATTATTAAGTTTGTTATATTCACTTATGCATAAATACCCTTGGGAAAGGGTTTGAATTTACATCTTCTCCCACCAAGCTATGAGTTCATTAAAGACTTGTATCGCTAAAAGCCATTATTATGTCCCCAAAAAGAGAAAAAAGAAATCTGATAATCTAAAAATATTTTTTGGCTTAAATAACCTGCAAAGAGTTGATAAACAATAAAAAATAAATCAAACAAATCAAAAAAACCCTTCAAGTGTCTGGTCAATCTGAACAATCTTCAGGGAATTTCAAACTGAACCTTTTGTTTAATTTATGGGTGTAAACTATTGTCATTGTGCTGTCCGTATCTAGGGGAGATAACTCGTCATGTTCTTTTTCTTAATACTGATACTGCCTCAAGAATTGAACTCACAAACTCAAGCACTGATTCTTTAAATAAACTCAACAAATTTTTGGTGTGAACTTTTGTTGTTTTTATTATCATAGTTTCTTCCATTGTGCCTTCTTAAAGTGTTGGTCAGTCTGCTTGACTACAGGAGAATAGCCTAGTGAATTAATGTGTTTGTGTATTTGGTCACATAATAATTGATTTCCATCTCTGGACCAGGTAGTACAAATATAACTAGTAATAACTGAGCAGTTCTAAAAAAAAAAAAACAAGACTTATTGTAGAGGCAAAAGTGGGTAACCTGGAAGGCAGAACCTTGTTATTGCTGTTCCTTTTCCGCCTCGGTAAATGTAAATCCAAGTATCAAACAGAAGACAGCATTGAGTAGGGCTAAATAAATATATAATTTATTTACATATATAAATATACTGGTAACTTGTATCTGTTGCTGTTGTTAAGGCAACAGAGAGAGAGTGGTGTAAATTAGAAGCAAATAGACACTTAGCGGTGGCTGCACCTGCTGTGTCATCATCAGTGGCATTTCTCTCTCATGTTGATCTGTGTAGAGTCTGTCTGAATTTTGGGTATATATAATTTTTAGTTGGCTCAAAGTTAAGGTTTTGGTTTTTGTGTGGGAGTGGCTCTAACTGATCATGATTTATTGTTCATTTTATTTTGGTTAAATGTAGGCATTGAGCAGATGTGTAGTCTGTTTTGGGTTGTCAAGTGGTCAACACCTAGTATGTGCCAAAAATGTAGGCGGCATGACAGAATATATATCTTATAAAAGAGGAATGAGAACAATCTCCCATACACAGATATACATTTGTCTTTGATTAAATAAAGGGCACAATTTCTTGGGTTGACAGAAAAAGGCCAGAGATCACATTGTGATAATAATCACAAAGATATGGACATTTGTCCAGATATAGATACTGCTAGGTGCTGAATTTTTGTAGCCTTGTACCAAACTTTAAAAAGATCAGTAAATCTTATAGGTTAGTTGGTCTTTACTAACCATTTCGGAAGAGACATTAGTTTGCTCGTCAGCACCCATTTTTTCTTTGCCCTTTGCTAGGTTAAGCTTAACAATTATCTAATATTGCTGCCTTGTGTAGAGCAATGGTTAGCAAGTCTATTGGGTTCTGTCCTTCTTTCGGACCCTCTTCTTGTGAATCTCTATTGTAATGTTATCAGTGATAAAAATACAAGACTAAATTTTTCATACATAAAAAAAAACTTGAACTTTCATGCCCACAAACAGCATTATTTATTTATTTATTTATTAGACTGTTTATTTAAAAGAATAATTTTATATTTACAACATTCTAAAATCTAATGTAATGCAATATTTATCACTTACCAATTTATGAAAAAATAAATATGAACACAACTTTTCTTCATAAATTTATAAACATTTATTAAAATATGTAAACCAACTATAAGGAAATCCTTACTTACCATTTTATAAAGCTTGACTTGATTGGCAATTAACCAAAGTTTTGCGAACCATTCCAATAAACAGTCTAATAAATAGTGTAAATAAACAATCTAAAATAATTCTTATTATTTTTGCTGTAAATTCTGAAGAATAAAGAAAATGTATAGATTCACATTCATATGCTTAGGTTTTATTACAATTCTAATCATTGCTTTTTTAAAATGATAAACATTGCTGAGGAGTGAAGGTAGTTATAATAATAGTGGTGTCAAGGGAAAAAAACATCCTTTTTACACCTTTTTTTTTGTCCTCACAAAGATCTAAGTTTGCCAAATATTGCTTAACTTCTGAACTCAAATCAATTGAAACAAATGGTATGTGGTTTTGGGTCATTGAACATTCAATTGCCTTCTTGTAAGAACGTGAGGCCTTTAAACTTTCTCCCCTTGTAGGTCAGATATTTATGTAACATATATATCGCCTATGTTCAGCAGGGCTCACTTCCTTTTTATGTTGGTGCAGTCGCTGACATTCTTTGAGACCCAGCTCTGCACTTGGCGGATTTGAGGATACCTCTTAGCTCAACTCTTGGGGCACCAAAGTCTTTTTGATATTCTATGGCACTGGTTCCTAAATGGTGCGTTCGGAAAGGATGGCAGGTGGGACAAAATAATTGAAAGACAAAGACTTAGAAACAATTTTCGAAAATTTCATGTAAAAAATAAACATGATTTCAAATTTTAAAATATTATTATGGATTACTTGTGATTGCATGCATGAGTCCCAGTATAAATGATTATAAATAATTATTGACTGATTTTTATCATTTTGATATTTTTCCATTGTATTAAGAACATAGAAACTAGGCTTCTGTCTATATTTCTGAGATGAGATATTATGTACACGATTTACATTATTCGGACTATTGTTCTCATCTTTGTTGCCATATTTATCACAACGTTTCGGCCATTGTACGCTCCAGCCTTCTTCAGGTTGTTGGAATGTCGAACACCTGAAAGCTGTAACACAAGGGGAAGTGGAAAAATCAGGTGTGGCTGACCACATATGGAGAGAAAAGGGAGATCACTACCCTTTGTGGGATCAGGTTGAAATCATAGACAAAGGACATCATTGGAAAATTCGTAAACTTAAGGAATCAGCACATATGCTAGGCCACAAAAAAAAATCTGAGCCAACCAAGCGTAGAAATGAATACAATATGGGAACCAGTAATTAGGAGTGCCATAGAAAAGCAATGATAACAACAAAAATTGCCTTATGAGCTCTGGTAAAAAATGATTGCTGAAGACAGGTTTATAATACCCAGAAATTCATACACTGATGCCCTCAGGGGATAAAGGCGTTAGTTAGATCCAGTGACAGGACCCAAAGAGTGTGAGTTCAATACCTGGTTAAGGTGGTGGAGAACTTGGAGAGGGGAATTAACATAAGATGATTGATAACTGACATCCATTAAACATGGCACGTGGAACTGGAACAGTCTACCCTAGTGTGTGAACTAAAGGGTTCAGTTCGACATTCCAACTACCTGAAGAAGGCAGGAGCATACAACGGCCGAAATGTTGTGATAAATATGGCAACAGAAATGAAGACAATAGTCTGAATAATGTAAATAGTATAGTAACTAGGGTCTTCAAATTGTACATAGCATTACAACTTTCTTGTTATTCATTACACTGTGTCGAGATGTCCTTAATAATTTTTAAAGTATAGCTTAAGATGTCGGTCATCATTAATCGAGCGAAAAAAAAGTTGGTAATCATTACACCATATTGAAATGCCCAAATGCATATATGAAATGCTTGTGTGGTGTGTGAGTTACTTACATGTGTTTGTGTCATTTAAAATATGTACAAGCACAATTTACTCCAAGGAAGCCAGTAATTTCACTGACACAAGGGTGGGGGAGGGCTACTGAGAGTGAAAGAGAATGAAAAGACTTTAGAAGGAACCAGAGACCCAATCCTAAACAGGGAACCTGTTCAAAAGACTGGGGAAGAAGTATGAACCGGATGATAAGCAATTCTATCTACTCTCTTTTGAGGAAAAAAAAGAAATAAATTTAGTAAATAAAATTTCAGAGTTTAGATGGAGACGTTAAAAGGATAGAATTGAAATAGACTTTAGAAGGAACAAGAAACTTAATTCCAAACTGGAAACAAGTGATAAACTTCTACTCCTGTTCAAAACATCGGGGTAGAGTGTGAACCGGGCACACACAATTTGACAGAGTTTGGAAAATAAGACTTTGGAAGTATACACTCCCCTCCCACTCAGTCTGGACAACCCCTACCCTGGGCTGAGTAATACAATTGGAGACAAGAAAAAAATTAATTCTTTAAACCCTAGAAAATATGGTTTTTCTCAAACTTTTATGTAGTAATAAATAGAATTATTTTTTAATGTGTGTTTTTTTTTTTTTTTATATAGAAATATTTTTTTTGGTCTGTCATCGATTTTAAAACCTGCATGAATGCGCACAACGATGCATACACAGAATTT